TGCACACGCTAGGCCCTTGTTCTTGCTATTTTGCACATGCTAGGCCCTTGTTCTTCCAATTTTGCACTCGCTAGGCCCTTGTTCTTGCAATTTTGCACTCGTTAGGTCCTTGTTCTCGCAATTTTGCACACGCTAGGCCCTTGTTCTTGCTATTTTGCACACGCTAGGCCCTTGTTCTTGCTATTTTGCACACGCTATGCCCTTGTTCTTGAAATTTTGCACACGCTAGGCCCTTGTTCTTGCTATATTGCACATGCTAGGCCCTTGTTCTTCCAATTTTGCACATGCTAGGCCCTTGTTCTTGCAATTTTGCACACACTTGGCCCTTGTTCTTGAAATTTTGCACACGCTAGGCCCTTGTTCTTGCAATTTTGTACATACTAGGCCCTTGTTCTTGCAATTTTCAACTCGCTAGGCCCTTGTTCTTGCAATTTTGCACTCGCTAGGCCCTTGTTCTTGCAATTTTGCACACGCTAGGCCCTTGTTCTTGCAATTTTGCACACGCTAGGCCCTTGTTCTTCCAATTTTGCACTCGCTAGGCCCTTGTTCTTGCAATTTTGTACACACTAGGCCCTTGTTCTTCCAATTTTGCACTCGCTAGGCCCTTGTTCTTGCAATTTTGCACTCGCTAGGTCCTTGTTCTTGCCAGTTTTGCACACGCTAGGCCCTTGTTCTTGCTATTTTGCACACGCTAGGCCCTTGTTCTTCCAATTTTGCACACGCTAGGCCCTTGTTCTTGCAATTTTGCACTCGCTAGGCCCTTGTTCTTGCAATTTTGCACACGCTAGGCCCTTGTTCTTGCTATTTTGCACACGCGAGGCCCTTGTTCTTGCTATTTTGCACACGCTAGGCCCTTGTTCTTGAAATTTTGCACACGCTAGGCCCTTGTTCTTGCTTTTTTGCACATGCTAGGCCGTTGTTCTTCCAGTTGTGCACACGCTAGGCCCTTGTTCTATAAATTTTGCACTAGCTAGGTCCTTGTTCTTGAAGTTTTGCACACGCTAGGCCCTTGTTCTTGCAAATTTGCACACGCTAGGCACTTGTTCTTCCAATTTTGCACTCGCTAGGCCCTTGTTCTTGAATTTTTGCACATGCTAAGCCCTTGTTCTTGCAATTCTGCACACGCTAGGCCCTTGTTCTTCCAATTTTGCACTCACTAGGCCCTTGTTCTTGCAATTTTGCACACGCTAGGCCCTTGTTCTTCCAATTTTGCACTCGCTAGGCCCTTGTTCTTGCAATTTTGCACACGCTAGGCCCTAGTTCTTGTAATTTTGTACACGCTAGGCCCTTGTTCTTGCAATTTTGCACTCGCTAGGCCCTTGTTCTTGCAATTTTGCACTCGCTAGGTCCTTGTTCTTGCAATTTTGCACACGCTAGGCCCTTGTTCTTCCAATTTTGTATTCGCTAGGCCCTTGTTCTTGAAGTTTTGCACACACTAGGCCCTTGTTCTTGCAATTTTGCACACGCTAGGCACTTGTTCTTCCAATTTTGCACTCGCTAGGCCCTTGTTCTTGAAAGTTTTCACACGCTAGGCCCTTGTTCTTGCAATTTTGCACACGCTAGGCCCTTGTTCTTGCAATTTTGCACTCGCTAGGCCCTTGTTCTTGCAATTTTGCACACGCTAGGCCCTTGTTCTTCCAATTTTGCACACGCGAGGCCCTTGTTCTTGCTATTTTGCACACGCTAGGCCCTTGTTCTTCCAAATTTGCACTCGCTAGGCCCTTGTTCTTGCAATTTTGCACACGCTAGGCCCTTGTTCTTGCAATTTTGTACATGCTAGGCCCTTGTTCTTGCAATTTTGCACACGCTAGGCCCTTGTTCTTGCAATTTTGCACTCGCTAGGCCCTTGTTCTTGCAATTTTGCACACGCTAGGCCCTTGTTCTTGCTATTTTGCACATGCGAGGCCCTTGTTCTTGCTATTTTGCACACGCTAGGCCCTTGTTCTTCCAAATTTGCACTCGCTAGGCCCTTGTTCTTGCAATTTTGCACACGCTAGGCCCTTGTTCTTGCAATTTTGTACACGCTAGGCCCTTGTTCTTGCAATTTTGCACACGCTAGGCCCTTGTTCTTGCAATTTTGCACTCGCTAGGCCCTTGTTCTTGCAATTTTGCACACGCTAGGCCCTTGTTCTTGCTATTTTGCACATGCGAGGCCCTTGTTCTTGCTATTTTGCACACGCTAGGCCCTTGTTCTTGAAATTTTGCACACGCTAGGCCCTTGTTCTTGCTATTTTGCACATGCTAGGCCGTTGTTCTTCCAGTTGTGCACATGCTAGGCCCTTGTTATATATATTTTGCACTAGCTAGGTCCTTGTTCTTGAAGTTTTGCACACGCTAGGCCCTTGTTCTTGCAATTTTGCACACGCTAGGCACGTGTTCTTCCAATTTTGCACTCGCTAGGCCCTTGTTCTTGCAATTCTGCACACGCTAGGCGCTTGTTCTTCCAATTTTGCACTCACTAGGCCCTTGTTCTTGCAATTTTGCACACGCTAGGCCCTTGTTCTTCCAATTTTGCACTCGCTAGGCCCTTGTTCTTGCAATTTTGCACACGCTAGGCCCTTGTTCTTGCAATTTTGTACACGCTAGGCCCTTGTTCTTGCAATTTTGCACTCGCTAGGCCCTTGTTCTTGCAATTTTGCACTCGCTAGGCCCTTGTTCTTGCAATTTTGCACACGCTAGGCCCTTGTTCTTGCTATTTTGCACATGCTAGGCCCTTGTTCTTCCAATTTTGCACTCGCTAGGCCCTTGTTCTTGCATTTTTGCACATGCTAGACCCTTGTTCTTGCAATTTTGCACACACTTGGGCCTTGTTCTTGAAATTTTGCACACGCTAGGCCGTTGTTCTTGCAATTTTGTACATACTAGGCCCTTGTTCTTGCAATTTTGCACTCGCTAGGCCCTTGTTCTTGCAATTTTGCACTCGCTAGGCCCTTGTTCTTGCAATTTTGCACACGCTAGGCCCTTGTTCTTGCAATTTTGCACACGCTTGGCCCTTGTTCTTCCAAATTTGCACTCGCTATGCCCTTGTTCTTGCAATTTTGCACACGCTAGGCCCTTGTTCTTGCAATTTTGTACACGCTAGGCCCTTGTTCTTCCAATTTTGCACTCGCTAGGACCTTGTTCTTGCAATTTTGCACTCGCTAGGTCCTTGTTCTTGCCAGTTTTGCACACGCTAGGCCCTTGTTCTTGCTATTTTGCACACGCTAGGCCCTTGTTCTTGCAATTTTGCACACGCTAGGCCCTTGTTCTTGCAATTTTGCACTCGCTAGGTCCTTGTTCTTGCAATTTTGCACACGCTAGGCCCTTGTTCTTGCTATTTTGCACATGCTAGGCCCTTGTTCTTGCTATTTTGCACATGTTATGCCCTTGTTCTTCCAGTTTTGCACACGCTAGGCCCTTGTTCTTGCAATTTTGTACATACTAGGCCCTTGTTCTTGCAATTTTGCACTCGCTAGGCCCTTGTTCTTGCAATTTTGCACTTGCTAGGCCCTTGTTCTTGCAATTTTGCACACGCTAGGCCCTTGTTCTTGCAATTTTGCACACGCTAGGCCCTTGTTCTTCCAAATTTGCACTCGCTATGCCCTTGTTCTTGCAATTTTGCACACGCTAGGCCCTTGTTCTTGCAATTTTGTACACGCTAGGCCCTTGTTCTATCAATTTTGCACTCGCTAGGCCCTTGTTCTTGCAATTTTGCACTCGCTAGGTCCTTGTTCTTGCCAGTTTTGCACACGCTAGGCCCTTGTTCTTGCTATTTTGCACACGCTAGGCCCTTGTTCTTGCTATTTTGCACACGCTAGGCCCTTGTTCTTGCAATTTTGCACACGCTAGGCCCTTGTTCTTGCTATTTTGCACACGATAGGCCCTTGTTCTTGCTATTTTGCACACGCTAGGCCCTTGTTCTTGCAATTTTGCACACGCTAGGCCCTTGTTCTTGCAATTTTGCACTCGCTAGGTCCTTGTTCTTGCAATTTTGCACACGCTAGGCCCTTGTTCTTGCTATTTTGCACACGCTAGGCCCTTGTTCTTGCAATTTTGCACACGCTAGGCCCTTGTTCTTGCAATTTTGCACACGCTAGGCCCTTGTTCTTGCTATTTTGCACACGCTAGGCCCTTGTTCTTGCAATTTTGCACACGCTAGGCCCTTGTTCTTGCAATTTTGCACTCGCTAGGTCCTTGTTCTTGCAATTTTGCACACGCTAGGCCCTTGTTCTTGCTATTTTGCACACGCTAGGCCCTTGTTCTTGCAATTTTGCACACGCTAGGCCCTTGTTCTTGCAATTTTGCACTCGCTAGGTCCTTGTTCTTGCAATTTTGCACACGCTAGGCCCTTGTTCTTGCTATTTTGCACACGCTAGGCCCTTGTTCTTGAAATTTTGCACACGCTAGGCCCTTGTTCTTGCAATTTTGTACATACTAGGCCCTTGTTCTTGCAATTTTCAACTCGCTAGGCCCTTGTTCTTGCAATTTTGCACTCGCTAGGCCCTTGTTCTTGCAATTTTGCACACGCTAGGCCCTTGTTCTTGCAATTTTGCACACGCTAGGCCCTTGTTCTTCCAATTTTGCACTCGCTAGGCCCTTGTTCTTGCAATTTTGTACACGCTAGGCCCTTGTTCTTCCAATTTTGCACTCGCTAGGCCCTTGTTCTTGCAATTTTGCACTCGCTAGGTCCTTGTTCTTGCCAGTTTTGCACACGCTAGGCCCTTGTTCTTGCTATTTTGCACACGCTAGGCCCTTGTTCTTGCTATTTTGCACACGCTAGGCCCTTTTTCTTCCAATTTTGCACTCGCTAGGCCCTTGTTCTTGCAATTTTGCACACGCTAGGCCCTTGTTCTTGCAATTTTGTACACGCGAGACCCTTGTTCTTGCAATTTTGCACTCGCTAGGCCCTTGTTCTTGCAATTTTGCACTCGCTAGGTCCTTGTTCTTGCAATTTTGCACACGCTAGGCCCTTGTTCTTGCTATTTTGCACACGCTAGGCCCTTGTTCTTGCTATTTTGCACATGCTATGCCCTTGTTCTTACACCCCTGCCTACGAGCGTGTGACACACTGCACGTGTGCCCAGACGGGTCGTCACCTGGCTACCTTCACTCGGCAGCCAGGGTCGGACTTGTACACACTGACCACTGAGTCCCCTCAGGTAGCTGCGTCTGCGTCTACGTCAGGTCAGCTGTCGGCTCCCTGCTCGTGTCGCTCCCTGTCGCACAGGACTGTCCTCTGGCACCACCGCCTTGGTCACCCGTCAGTGCAGCGCCTTCGCGGCATGCACTCCAGGTACCTTGTCTCTGGTCTTCCCAGGGTTCTCCCTCCCCTCCCACCCTCGCATGCTCCTCCCTGTCTTCCCTGTGTCGAGGGGCGGCAGCGCGCCGCTCCTCAATCTTCCTCGTTCCCTCCCACAGAGGCTCCCCTTGCACACTCTCCACCTGGACATGTGGGGCCCAACCCGCATCCGGGGACAGGGCCACGAGCGGTACTTTCTGCTGGTCGACGACGACTACACGAGCTACACCGTGGTCTTCCCCTTGCGTACCAAGGGTGAGGTCCCTGATGTCTTGATCCCCTGGATCCGTGGTGTTCGTCTCCAGCTCCGCGAGCGGTTCCAGTCGGACTTTCGTGTCCTACGTCTGAACTCTGACAGAGGTGGCGAGTTTTCCTCTGACCTCTTGGCAGCCTACTGTGCGGAGCACGGCATCCGCCAGACGTTCACTCTCCCGACCTCTCCGCAGCAGAATGGGGTTGCTGAGCGCCGCATTGGTTTTGTCATGGAGGTCACTCGTACCTCCACGATCCATGCGGCTGCCCCCCATTTCCTGTGGCCGTTTGTAGTGCAGTACGCTGCGCATCAACTCAACCTCTGGCCCCGTGTCTCTGTTTCGGAGACCTTGCCTACCCTGCGTTGGACGGGGGAGGTTGGCGATGCGTCGGTGTTCCGAGTCAGGGGATGTCGAGCCTTTGTCCGTGATACGTCCGCGGACAAGCTCTCCTCCCGTGCCGTTCCCTGTGTCTTCCTTGGCTTTGTCCCTGACGCGCCTGGCTGGCAGTTTTACCACCCCACCTCGCGCCGTGTCTTTGCCTCTCAGGACATCACCTTTGACAAGTCGGTACCCTTTTACCGTCTCTTCCCCTACTGCACTGCCCCGCTCCCCCCCCCGCCGCTCTTCCTCACCCCAGGTGTTCCGTCGGTAGACCCCCTCCCCCCCCAGGGTGCTGCTCCCTCAGGTGTTTCCCAGGTAGACCTGGTCGAGCCTGTCGAGGTAGCTGTTGACTCTGGTCCTGCGCGAGGTGCTGCGCGTGCTGAGCCTGGTGGTGCTGAGTCTGGGGGTGCGGAGACTGCGGGTGCTGAGCCTGGGGGTGCTGCGACTGGGGGTGCTGAGCCTAAAGGAGCTGAGGCTGGGGGTTCTGAGACTGACCGTACTGCGCCTGTTGGCGCTCCCTCTTCACAGCAGCTGCGTGAGTGGTACTCCCAGCGTTACAGCCTCCGTCGTGGGGCTACTGGAGCTAGGGGGTCTACTGGAGTCGGGGCTGGTGGCCCTGCGGGTGCAGTGTCGCAGCCGGAGCCTCCCTCCCCTCAGCGACTACGTGAGTGGTACGCTCGGCGCTGCAGCCTCCGGAGTGGAGCTCCTGGTGTTGCGGTACCGCCAGATAGAGGCCTTGCTGCTATTAGAGGTCCTGGAGCTGCTGGAGGTGCTGCTGGTGCTGGTGCTGCTGGAGGGGCTGCTGGAGGTGCTGCTGATGCTGCTGGAGGTACTGGAGATGCTGGAGGTCCTGGAGCTGCTGGAGGTGCTGCTGGTGCTGCTGGAGGTGCTGCTGGTGCTGCTGGAGGTACTGGAGCTGCTGGAGGTACTGTTGGTGCTGCTGGAGGTACTGGAGATGCTGGAGGTCCTGGAGCTGCTGGAGGTGCTGCTGGTGCTGCTGGAGGTGCTGCTGGTGCTGCTGGAGGTACTGGAGCTGCTGGAGGTATTGCTGGTGCTGCTGGAGGTACTGGAGCTGCTGGAGGTTCTGCTGGTGCTGGTTCAGCTGGAGATTCTGGTGCTGTCTCTGCTACTTCTGGGGGCACTTGACGGCCGCGGCCGTACTTCGTTCGGCTCCTTCAGCAGGTTCTTGATCAGCCACCTCCTCCCAGTCCTCCTCCCTCCTTAGAGTGTCCTCCGCCTGTCCAGTCGCAGTCACAGCTACCGCCCGCCTCTCCACTTCCTGGTCCTTCTCCCTTCACTGGTCTGACAGGCGGTCTTACAGAGCGTCGTGAGCCTGAGTCTCATCATGTGTCGCCTGTGTCTCGTCCTGTGTCACCTGTTCGTGCTACTTGCACTGGTCGCCGCGTTCCGCGTGAGCGTCCTCCACCTGTCCTTGGCACACACTATATGACTCTGCGTCCTTCCACTGCTCCACAGCGTGTCCCTCTGCCGTCTCCTCCTGCGTCCTCTCTTCCTGTTCTTGCTGACCCGGAGTCCGACTCTCTTCGTGCTGCCAGTCCTACTGTCACGCGTCTACTGGCCACTGCTGTCAGTGACCCTTCCTTTGAGTCTGCTGCTGCGTCTGCCCTAGTTGCTGAGCTTGTCTACTTTGTTGCTCGCTGTCGTCCAGACTACGCCGCGAGTCTTGTTGCTGAGTCTGAGTCTGTCTGTCCTCCGTCCATCGGGGGTGAGTGTGCTCTTAGAACGGACGTCCTTGAGGACAGACAGGAGGACCTTGAGTGTCTTGCAGCCGCTGCGCCTCATCTCGTGTCCATGCTGATTGCCCCTGAGGGAGACCCGGATGCTCCAGACATCCCGACCCCGCGCTCTTATGCTGAGGCGATCGCAGGTGAGTACTCCTCTCAGTGGCAGTCAGCCATGGACGCAGAGATGGCATCCTGAAATTCCACTGGCACTTACGTCGACGAGGTTCCCCCTCCTGGGGCGAACATCGTCAGTGGCATGTGGATTTTCAGGGTGAAGCGGCCGCTGGGTTCTCTGCCTATCTTCAAGGCTCGTTATGTTGCTCGAGGCTTTAGTCAGCGAGAGGGAGTAGACTTCTTTCAGACCTTCTCCCCCACCCCAAAGATGACCACTCTTTGGGTGCTACTGCACGTTGCTGCTCAGCGTGACTACGAGCTTCACTCTCTTGACTTCAGCACAGCTTTCTTGCAGGGCAGCCTGCACGAGGAGATCTGGCTGCGCCGGCCTCCTGGCTTCACTGGGTCGTTTCCTCCTGGTACCCAGTGGAGCCTCCGGCGGCAGGTCTACGGTCTCCACCAGGCGCCACGTGAATGGCACGACACACTAAGGACTACTCTTGCAGCACTTGGGTTCGCGCCTTCTACTGCTGACCTGTCGATGTTTCTGCGCACCGACACTTCGCTGCCGCCATTCTACATCCTCGTGTACGTCGACGACTTGGTCTTTGCCACTGCTGACACTAAGGCTCTCGCCCACGTGAAGTCGGAGCTGCTGAACAGACATACGTGCACATACCTGGGTGAACTGCGCAGCTACCTTGGCTTGCAGATCACCCGGGACAGAGCATGTTGCACCATCACACTGACTCTGTCACACATGGTGCAGCAGGTCCTTCAGCGCTTCGGCTTCACCTGGTCCTCAGCACAGGCCACTCCTCTGGCTACAGGTCACTTGCTCTCAGCTCTGCCTTCGGATGAGTCCGTAGAGCCGAGTGGTCCTTACCCAGAGCTAGTTGGCTGCCTCATGTACCTGATTACTTGTACTCCTCCTGACCTAGCGTACCCTCTTGGCCTTCTGGTCCGCTATGTGGCTCCAGGTAGGCATCGAAAGGTGCACTGGGATGCTGCAAAGAGGGTATTGCACTACTTGTGCAGTACATTGGGCATGGGGCTCGTGCTTGGAGGAGGGAGCTCAGTTGTTCTCACTAGGCACTCAGACGCTTCTTGGGCTGACAACCAGGCTACTCAGCGGTCGTCACAGGGTTACACCTTCAGCCTTGGCTCTGGCTCAGTTTCGTGGCCTTCTAAGCGTTCGTCTTCAGTTCTCAGCTCCAGTTGTGAGGCTGAGATCTACGCCACAGCCATGGCTGCACAGGAGTTATGCTGGCTCACCTACCTGATGACCGACCTGGGAGAGCGGCCTCGTTGTCCTCCAGTGCTGTAAGTCAACAACAAGTCTGCCATTGCCTTGTCTGAGGAGCACAGACTGGAGCACAGGACGAAGCACATCGCTCTACGTTACTTTCTGGCTCGAGAGTTGCAGCAGCGTGGTCAGCTTCGTCTGCGTTACGTGGCCACTCAGGCCAACACTGCTGATATATTCACCAAGGCACTTCAGTCTGGTGATCATCAGCGTTTCTGCACTTTGTTAGGGCTTGTGCCCACTTTTCCTCACTTGTTGTAAACTTTGCCTATACTGTGATCTATATATATATACCTGCATGCTTGCTAGATATAGATCACTGTGATGCTTGTGCTACATATATGCCTCTGCATGTGAACTGGCCTTGTGGTCCTTTACTTGTGATCAGAGTGTGTGGTGACGTTGTGATCCACCCTGAGCTTGCTTTGTCTTTCTTGACTGGTCCTGTGACTCCTTTCTCTCCCCCACTTAGCCTATGGGGGTGTGTCAAACATTATATATGTTTCTGTTGTGTAGGCTACAGTGGGTTAGCCTTTAGGGGGTACACTTCTCTAGGGTTTCTTACTTGTACTCCAACATCTTTCTAGTTCAACACTTCTTGTTTCTGACACTTCCCCCCTTCCATTCTCCCAACCCAACCACCCCCGTGTCTTCCTCCCGCGTGCACGACCCGTCACACGGCAGGCATGACTGGCTTGGTTTCGCCTGCCGACTTTTGTGCGGCACACATGGCAGCACTGGAAGGGATGCTAGACCACTCCGCATCCGTTTCTGCTGCTGCTGGCCTGGAGGCAGGTGGAGGTGGAAATGGGGTTGCTTCGGATGGTGGTGGTGGTCTAGGTGATAAGCGCCTCTGACCAAGCAATGGCACTCCCTTCACTGGCAGGTCCACCAAGCATCTCACACTGCATTGCTCTCTTCTGCTGCACACCACGCCAGGCATGCATTTGCAGCAAGCTGCACGTGCGGCAGCTCCCAGCATAGTTGACAGGTTCCGTTTGTAGTATATTATACATCCAAACACTCCCACATGCGTGTTTGCGCCCACTGTGTCTGGGTTCAGTACATTGAAGGCCTTCAAGCTATAAACACTTTGCAACGTTTTACAAATGGAGTACTTACAACAGTATTGACTAAATACAAGGACCCTAATCAACCAACCCTGGATTCCACCATACCCCCCATGTTGCTAGTCATATGCCCGTGCTCGATTTTTATACCCCTTCACCCTGTCGCTGCTCTTTTTGCTCATCTTCAGAACCAATCCTGAAACCTAGCGTCAATCGTTGTCGACACCCACGTCATTGCGAGAACATCAATGACTTCTGGCGGGCAACATAAGAAAGGAGTGGGGAACTTGGTGTAGGGAGTAGGCAAAACAAAGCAGCGGTGTGTGCAGGGATTGGAAGTCATCCCTGCAGGGGTGGATGAGAGGACAGGTAGGGAAGTGGGGGGACCTAATGTGTTGATCCATCGATGGATTGCGAGCGCAAAACAAAGGGTAGGGTATGGCAGGGTATGGAGCGGGATGGATGGGTTTGGCAGGCGATGGATGGCTATGGTATGGGATGGATGGGTATGGCAGGCGATGGATGGGTATGGTATGGGATGGATGGTTATGGTAGGCGATGGATGGGTATGGTGTGGGATGGATTGGTATGGCTGGATTATGGAATGGTATGGTACACTTCTGCTAAAGAGGGAATTGTAGGGCAGGGTATGGCAAGGAGCGGCAAGGTATGGCAGGGGAGGGGTGAGTTTGGCTGGCCTATGTATGGGTATGGGAGGAGATAGAAGGGTACAGCAGGGTACGTTGGAGGGTAGGGTGGGTACAGATAGCAGACCGACTCACACTGCAGTGGATAGGTTCGGGTGTCTAATCCTTGGAACTGGTTGAACTTCCTGTGCACTCCCTCTGCAGCACAAGCAACGGTGGAGTCGCGATTACTTCACAGACAAGAAACAGCATGGTGGGGGAAGGACAAGGTGAGACAAGTTGCGAGGAAGGTTAGAGGAGGGGGTATGAGCCCAAGGAACATTCTAGAGGAAGGAGTGGTGATGGGAGGCATGAAGGGGAGACAACAAGGCAGGGATGACCAAAAGGTTAGAGGGCTTGAGGAGATGGGTAGGCGAAGTGGAGGGGTGAGGATGAAGAGGTGGGACTGAAGGGCAGAAAGTGCCTGAGAGGAACGGGAGGAGGGGAGGCGGGGAAGGGAGATGGAGGAGGCGGGATATTATGAACCAAAGGGAGGAGATGGACAAGGGGGGGCGGCCCTAAATTTTTGGCGCTGATGGGGGCCGTGCTGAGGGATGGAGGAGAAGGTGGGGGGGGGGGGGGGGGGGGGGGGGGAGAAGAGAAGAAAGAGATCACAGGGAGGGAAGAGGGGGAAGGGAGGGAGGGGAGGGAAGGGAGGAAAGAGAGGGAAGAAAGGGAAGGTTGATAAGGGAGGGAAGAGAGGGTAAGAGGGAAGGAAGGGAAGGGAGGGAAGGGAGGGAAGGGAGTTTTGGGAGGGAAGGGAGGGAAGGGAGGGAAGGGAGGGAAGGGAGGGAAGGGAGGGAAGGGAGGGAAGGGAGGGAAGAGAGAGAAGGGAGGGAAGGGAGAGAAGGGAGGGAAGGGAGAGATGGGAGGGAGGGAGGAAAAGGAGAAATTCTGAATGCAAGCAGGGAGAGAAGGGAGGGAATGGGGAGAAGGGGGAGAAGGGAGGGGTTGGAGGGAAAGGAGGGAGGGGAGGGAACCAGAGGGAAGAGAGGGAGGAAGGGGAGGAAGAGAGGGAATCGAGGGAAGGGAGGATAGTGAGGGAACCGAGGGGAGGAGGGAAGATAGGGAACCGAGGGAAGGAGGGAAGAGAGGGAAACAAGGGAAGGGAGGGAAAAGAGGGAAACGAGGGAAGAGATGGAAGAGAGGGGAAACGAGGGAAGGCAAGGAAGAGAGGGAAACTAGGGATGGGACAGAAGAGAGGGAAACGGGGAAGGGAGGGAAGAGAGGGAAACGAGGGAAGGGAGGGAAGAGAGGGAAACGAGGGAATGGAGGGAAGAGCGGGAAACGAGGGAAGGGAGGGAAGAGAGGGAAACGAAGGAAGGGAGGGAAGAGAGGGAAACGAGGGAATAAAGGGAAGAGAGGGGAAACGAGGGAAGAGATGGAAACGAGGGATGGGACAGAAGAGAGGGGAAACGAGGGAAGGCGAGGAAGAGAGGGAAATGGGGGAAGGGACAGAAGAGAGGGAAACGGGGAAGGGAGGATAGTGAGGGAACCGAGGGGAGGGAGGGAAGAGAGGGAAATGGGGGAAGGGAGGGAAGAGAGGGAAACGAGGGAAGGGAGGGAAGAGAGGGAAACAAGGGAAGGGAGGACAGAGAGGGAACGAGGGAAGGGAGGGAGGAGAGGGAACCGCGGGAAGGGAGAGAAGAGAGGGAAACGAGGGAAGGAAGGGAAGAGAGGGAAACGAGGGAAGGGGAGGAAGTGAGGGAATCGAAGGAAGGGAGGCTAGTGAGGGAACCGAGGGGAGGGAGGGAAGAGAGGGAAACAAGGGAAGGGGAGCAAGAGAGGGAAACGAGGGAAGGGAGGGAAGAGAGGGAAGCGAGGGAAGGGAGGGAAGAGAGGGAAACGAGGGAAGGCGAGGAAGAGATGGAAACGAGGGAAGGGGAGGAAGAGAGGGAATCGAGGGAAGGGAGGATAGTGAGGGAACCGAGGGGAGGGAGGGAAGAGAGGGAACCGAGGGAAGGAGGGTAGAGAGGGAAACGAGGGAAGGGAGGGAAGAGAGGGAACCGCAGGAAGGGAGAGAAGAGAGGGAAACGAGGGAAGGCGAGGAAGAGAGGGAAACGAGGGAAGGGGAGGAAGAGAGGGAATCGAGGGAAGGAAGGATAGTGAGGGAACCGAGGGGAGGGAGGGAAGAGAGGGAACCGTGGGAAGGAGGGAAGAGAGGGAAACGAGGGAAGGGAGGGAAGAAAGGGAACCGCGGGAAGGGAGAGAAGAGAGGGAAACGAGGGAAGGCGAGGAAGAGAGGGAAACGAGGGAAGGGGAGGAAGAGAGGAAATCGAGGGAAGTGAGGATAGTGAGGGAACCGAGGGGAGGGAGGGAAGAGAGGGAAACGAGGGAAGGAGGGAAGAGAGGGAAACGAGGGAAGGGAGGGAAGAGAGGGAAACAAGGGAAGGGAGGGAAGAGAGGGAACGAGGGAAGGGAGGGAAGAAAGGGAACCGCGGGAAGGGAGAGAAGAGAGGGAAACTCAGGAAGGGAGGGATGAGAGGGAAACGAGGGAAGGGAGGGAAGATTGGGAAGCGAAGGAAGGGAGAGAAGAGAGGGAAACGAGGGAAGGCGAGGAAGAGAGGGAAGCGGGAATGGGAATGGTTGAACGGGAGGCACGCGGAGGAGAACGGGGAGCTGTAAGGGGAGATCGGGGGTGGGAATGGGAGAACGGGAGGCACGACGGGGAGGACGGGGAGCTGTAAGGCGACGCCGCTTCGCGGATCAGCGGCGAGGCGACGCCGCTTCGCGGATTTGCGGCGAGGCGATGCCGCTTCGCGGATTTGCGGGGAGGCGACGCCACTTCGCGGATTTGCGGTGAGGCGACGCCGCTTCGCGGATTTGTGGGGAGGCGACGCCGCTTCGCGGATTTGCGGCGAGGGGAAGCCGCGCGCAGATTTACGGCGATGCGACGCGGCGAATGAATTTGCAGCGCGGCGACTTCGGGAGCGGATTTGCCGAGAGGTGACGCCGCGATGGGCGTTGAGGCGAGTCTACGAAGCGAGATCTTATGAGGCGTCGCAAACCCTACGCCATGCTATGGATGGCATTTGACCTAAGCGAGCCCGCAAGCTTGATCGTGATGGCACAGATTGGTGCGAATAGTTAGTTTCCTTAGTAGTTTACGGGTAAAGTGGGTGACGGCTTGTCGGGGAGGGAGCACCTTCAATGTACTTTTGGCATGTATAAACTTTCGACACTTGAGTGGACTTGGCTGGTGGCAGGGTTGGGGACTCTTGGGAACCGTCGCTCGTGAGTGAAGTTGAGTGGGCCTGTAACTTGGTATCCACCATGTCCCTTTTATAAACTTTGGGCACCCCCCCTGCCAAATATATACCGCTGCTTTAAGTCTGAGAGGAGACAATGAAGTCTCTGTAGTGACCTTGTTGAATATTAATTGAAAGAGAACAAGATACTTAAAAGATAGGAGTACAAGAGATTAAATAGAAATCTAGCTAGCCATGTACTCTGAGGGGTACATTCCCTTATTAACTGTATTGCATAGCTACAGTAACCGCGACTGTTGCTATCCTCGACAATTACCATGTTGCAGTGAATTAACTGTCGCGCGGTTACTGGATCGTCAAAGGTCACGACCGTTGACTTCCTCAGACGGTTGACCTTCGGGTGACCCTCGACATTCTGCATGTTCTATATGAGCTGTTGCGGTACTGGTACAGTGGAGCAGCTTCGGGAATGCTTTATAAAACCCTTCGGTTATTCCAAAAGTTTTTTCTACATTTTTTTTTTTCAGGAAACCCTACTATAGTACTTCGTATGGCTATGTAAGTACATAGCATCTTATACATGGTTGTGTTTTGATTTCCCCCAAGTTTTTTGAAGAACAATCCACCTTTGAAACCTTTGTAGCCCTTGCCTTTTCCATAATAACCTTCATGCCCATGGTGATGCACAAGCACCACAGGCCGCGTGTTGTACTGAGAATAATACCCAGGAGGCGGGGCCCCATAGCCATACGGGGCAGGAGGAGGGGCATAGCCATAAACCCCCCTCAAGATACCCAATCAAAGGGCCCAGTCAAGACACCCCATCAAGACATCCCATCCCACACCCCATTTCTCCCCCCCCCCCCCCCCCCCCCCCCCCCCCCCCCCCATTCACAAATGCGTATCCACCATGTATGGGGCCTCTTCCCAGAGAGCCCCGCCTTCCACATCGACATCGTCCCTCTCTCGGTCCACCAAATCTACGTTAATCCCCCCCATGGAAGACGCCGCTCGAAGCAGGATGACACGGGCTTGCGCACGTTGTAACGCCACCCCGATGAGCACCTTCAGTGACCCTAAAAGTTAAGCCAAAAACACGGAGTCGTCCTCTCAACAAGCCCCCCGCGACACAGCTAGCCCCACGTGCGCATCCCCCTGCTGACGAAGCCATAGCCGAAAACGACTGCCGAGACACCCCCACGTCTCTACTATCAAAGGGGTGAACTGCACGCCCCGGTTGTGTGCAAGCAGAGGTGCGTAATCACTCGTTTTGCGACGCTCTCACTCTCTTGCCGCCACACCTATTTGACGCCCGCACTGTCCTAGCTGGGATGGAGACAGGGAGAGTGGGTCCGCGACGCTGATCTCTAGAGCATGAGCCTCTCCAGCCATTGGTTGTCGCACCGCCACATCAACCCGCTTCCCCTGCAGCATCACATTATCCTCCATTGTCACCACCCCCCCCTCCGACGCCTTAGAAATCTTCGCCACTGCAAACTTCACCTCATCATGCACCCGAGATGGACCATGCTGATGCTTGCATCTCAGGGCATGATGCGGGTCTGCTGGGTCAACATACGCTGTGCCACAAACACACCTCCCCGCCACCTGCAGCTGCTGAATTGGGAGCCCGAGCCATATAGCAGCGGCAATGCCCCACTCGGCCGCAGTGAATGTGAGATCTGAGTGAGCCAGAACCGCCGAAACCCATGCACCCGCCCCCGGGCCCTGAAAGGATGTGAAACGGGCCAAGGTAGCATCGTCACGAGCCAAACGGCGCAGTGCCTGGAGCTCCTCTACAGCTAACTGCCGCTGCCGCGCCTGGAAAAGCCGAACAGGAGGGGCCGCTAGACACAGAGGTAAGCCTGGTATCTCCTGGCGGATAGTTGCTGGCAGATGCTCAACGGCCTTGGCAAACCACGGGTCAAGAAACTCTGCCTCTATCAAAGTGGTGAGGTACTCTGCAAACATCGCCTCCTCGTTCGCCACCTCTAACTGTGCAATGTCATGCGCGGCCTGCGTGCACCCACAAACATAGGACAGTGGGCTCAAAAAAGCCGCCGCCCGGATCCCGAACCCTCCGAGTCGCACAGGGAGATGCAGCTGCATGCGTGCGCGCCTAGACCGGTCGGGGTCCTGCTCCCAAGTGCCAGGTGGGAAAAGCTGCTCAAAGCAATCCTCTAAACAACTGTCCCAATCTCTAAAAGCCTCAACCACCTCCAGACGCGGCGGCATAGTCCGGGCGAGGTGCATCGGCCGCGCTGAAACTGCAATGGCGAGGAGGTGTGAAGCCATCTGGGGGTGGTCGAGCAAAGGGAGCTAGGGCAGTGGCGCCTGCAACTGTCGAAGCCGCTCCCGTAGCCGGACCACCTCCCAAACCTCCTCCCCAATAGGCACGCCCACCACAGTAAGAACCTCATCCACACGCTGCATCCCCAATGGCAGTGCCTGCTCCACCTCCCTGCCCTCGCGCTCCCAAAACCGGCACTTGTGCTCCTGCACCTCCAGCCCCACCCACTCCAACCACTCCCGCAGCACCCCAAAAGCCTCCAGAATCCTAGCCGCTTGCCCCAAAATATAGGTATCGTCTGCATAGCTGAGGCAGGTCCCCGAAATCCCTAGTAACTGGCTCCATCACCTGCTGCTGCGTGAACGCAAAAAGAAAAGGGCCGAGCGGGTCCCCCTGCCTGGATCCCCATGCCGACTTGAGGCTCTGTACGAAAGGGCCTGCTCGGAGGTACAGGTCACTAGGCGTCCCATAAAAAACACGGAAGAATGGGATCATCCCTGAGAAAGGCGACTCTTGCAGCTCATCGAACATCGCATGACGGTGAAACGAACTGAAGGCGTTTGCAACGTCTATCTATAGCACACACCAGTCGGGGTGAGTGTCCAGTGCCGACCGGAAAGAATGAGTAAGAATCTCCGCCCCGACCCTGGTGCCCGCTCCCAGTTGGTTACACGGCAGGAAGTAGGAAACCATCGCAGGGCGGAGCGAGATGCAGAGAGCTCGAGCAAGGATACGAGGAAGCACCTCCCCGATCGCCACCGGCCGGACGTCGCCATTAGGCTTGGAAAGCCCGACTAGCTTGGATGCGGCGAGCCACGGCCGAGCCCGCTCAGGGACCGGTCCCGCCACCCATTGGTTTAACACTTCCATCAGGTGGGAAAGGCAGGAAGGTTCAGTAAGGAAGGTATCGCGCAGATGCTCTGCGACCCACCCCAATGGCCGGCTCGAGCTCGAGCGGCTGTATGGATAGCTCTGGCCAGGATGTCGGTTGTGAGTGAAGGCCGCTGAGCAGCATCGACGGTGAAATTGCGGACCCACTGTGGTACCTCGCCAGTGCTAGCCGGGTGCTTCTCTCGCAGCGACTGCACCATGGCCTCAGACGGTCGAGCCAGCTCCCCTGCTGTAAGGCAGGCCAATCCATGGCTCCACTCCCCGACTTTGCACCGAGATCGGCACCGTGACAGGCAGACGGCGTCCGGGTCCTGGTCAGAGCAAGTGTAGGAAAGTGGGCGAACTGCTGGGCGCGCCGCCACCATGGCAGAGTCGAACAGCTCCCGCCACCTCCCCTCCCAGAACGCACCCAGCCGCTCTGTGATCAGCGCCTTCTGACCTATGCCTGGCTTGGGAGGCACGGCTAGGATGAGGTGCGGAAACGCCAAGAGTAGGAGGGTAGCGGCTTCATCTCCCGGTTGGCTCTTCAAGCGCTTTAGGATGCAACAGAGCACGTCTAAGGGCATGTTCCTACGGCCCCTTATCAGGCCAACCTCTTATCAAGCTCGCTGCTTTTACCACTTAAAATTTCCTAAACCCAAAAACCTTCGTTACTTTTACCAGGCAAGGCTGACAAGAGGTTTGCCTGATACGAGCGTAGGAACATGCCCTAAGACCCCCGACCTGGCCCGCTGTGGGATCCGGTGCACTGTCCTCCCTCCAGCCACCTCCACACTGAAAAATGTTTCCCATTCCCATGACGTAACCCCAGCCCACGCCTCGTCCCCAAATTCCCGCGGCGTCGGTCGCTCCTGCGTGTCGGTCTCCACCAGAGACGGAATCAAGCCGAGAATATGTGCACGCCTCTCTGCCTCAGCCGCCTGGCATACCCTCATGTGGTTTGCAGCTGCCCCTCGCGTAGCGAAAGTGTGGAAACACGTGTCACACGGAAAACGGGGGCATGGGGAAGGCGGCCTGGGAGGTTCTCCATCCGCCTCTGACTCCTCCGCAGTCGCCATGGGGGTATCAAACTCCAAAAGTCGACACCACTCCTCCAACTGCTGCTCCTGGTCGTCCATCGATCGCCCCCCTGCTTGCTGCGCTCCTTGGGGTGCCCAGGGCACCCTCGGCTGCCCCCCTGGCTGCTGCGCTCCCTGAGGTGCCCCGGTCACCGCCGGCTGCCCCCCTTGCCTGCTGCTCTCCCTGGGGTGCTCCGGGCACCCTCGGCTGCCCTCCTGCCTGCTGCACTCCCTGGGGTGCCCGAGGCACCCTCGGCTGCCCTCCTGCCTGCTGCACTCCCTAGGGTTCCCCGGGCACCATCGGCTGCCCTCCTGCCTGCTGCACTCCTTGGGGTGCTCCGGTCACCCCCGGCTGCTCCCCTGCCTGCTGCTCGCCCTGGGGTGCCCGGGTCACCCCCGGCTGCCCCCCTAGCTGCTGCTCTCCCTGGGGTGCCCCGGGCACCCCTGGCTGCCCTCCTGCCTGCTGCACTCCTTGGGGTGCTCTGGGCACCCTTGGCTGCCCCTCTGCCTGCTGCACTCCCTGGGGTGCCCCGGGCACCCTCGGCTGCCCTCCTGCCTGCTGCACTCCCTGGGGTGCCCCGGGCACTCCCGGCTGCCCTCATGCCTGCTGAGCTCGTCATGTGAACAATCAAAACACATCCATGTATAGGATGTTATGTACTTAGCCATACGAAGTACTATAGAAGGGTTTCTACATTATATCATACTTCCATGTTTTGGAAGGGGATTCCGTACGCGTTAATAATGATGCGAAGTTGAGTGCATCTGTACTTTGGATCTGATCGGACGGACACTCGACAAAGGACTTTTTGGATTCCCATCGCATCGCACCGCGCACAGTGTACACCAGGGGCATCTTTCCTCCCACTCCCATTGGGTGCCCCTTTTCAGTGCCACACCGCCACGCCACACCACATACCAGAGCTCACAGTGACGGTGGGAGCAGTCACGAAAGGTGCCATAGATTTCCTAGCAGCCATCGTCACAAAAATAGAATCTATCAGCAGCGGCATCCTCGCGCTGGGGGACAACTTTCTCCGTTACAAGCAGCGCCTAAAGTAATCAGCTCCCATCGCGCCTCACAACCGCACAGACCCCATTCGGCTCTCTTCCCAGCCTGCCGCGACGACTCACCATGTCCTTCAAGAAATCCGCAAGCAGCCGGAAGCCGGCCGGCACGCTCGAGATCTTGGACGGCAAGAAGATCCTTGAGCTGGTGCAGGACGAGGCGGCATTCACGGCGCACCTCACGGCGGCCTTTGATGAGCTCGACGCCGACAAGAGCGGCACTTTGAGCCGCGCGGAGCTGCGCCCGGCGTTTCTGCGCATTGCGCGCCTGGGGGGCCTGCCGGAGCCGGGCAGCAGGGCGGAGTTGGACCGCGCGGTGGACGCGGTGTTCGGGCTGCGGGAGGGCGGAGACGACGAGCGGGGCGTATTGGGGAAGGACGAGTTCGTGTTGTTGTCGAAAGACGTGCTCACTGACATCGCCACCTCGCTCGCAGGTCACACCGCACCTGCGCATGCTCATCATCATGTCGCTGTCGCTGCGCCATTGTCGCGACGGCTCGTTCGTTCCTTGCGCGCGCGCATCTCCACCGTCCACGCGTCCGCCTCCACGCGTGGCTCATTCATGGGCCCATCGCAACACGTCTATGCTCTCCCCACTCTCCCTCTCGTCTTCCCTTTGTCAATCCCTCAGCGGAGCCGCTCCTTGTGCAGGTGTTCAACGGCGCGGCGCTGCGCCACGTGGCGGGTAGCGCGGAGCAGCGAGCGGCGGTGGCGGAGGCGGCGTTCAAGGAGATGGACAAAGACGGCAGCGGCAAGCTGTCGAAGCAGGAGCTGCTGCCCGTGCTCGCCGCGCTCGGCATCGACGGCATGCCGCCTCCCCAAGGTCTGCCGCCGCGCATACCGCCCCTGCGTCATTGCGCGTCCTCCTGTGCCTCTGTGCTGCACCGAACAACCACACGAGTGCTCGTATCTCGTCAGTGAGTCCCCTCCTCCGCTTCTCTCCTCCCCTTCAACACACCCCCCTCTCTCTCCCCTTCCCCCGCCTCCCTCCGCCTCTTCCCGCCGTTCCGCCAGTGGCGGACGCCATGCTGTCGGCGCTGCTGGAGGAGTACGCGGCGGGCGCGGAGGAGATGGAGCGCGAGCAGTTCGAGGAGCTGTTTTCACAGCTGGCGGCGGGCATGGCGGACCTGCTCGAGGCGCAGCCTGCCATCGCGGTGGAAGCGGCGGTCGTGCTCAACGGAGGGATGCTCAGAAAGGTGCTCGCATTCACGCGCAGGCGTTGCGCACCCACACGCACCGCCTTCCATCTCCCCAGTCAGATGCTTCCACCGCAGGGCTCCTTGCCTCCGTGGATTCCCGTCTTCTCCGCTCCCCTGTTCCCCCCTCAACCCATCAATCCCTCAAATCGAATGCCCGCCTCTGCTTCTTGTGCCCGTACTCTTTCTCCGATCTCCGCATCGCCCGGCAGATGCTCGCGAGCAAGGAGCTGTTTGAGGAGGAGGCCAGCGCGCTCTTCGCTGACTGGGACGTCAGCAAGTCCGGCCAGCTGTCGCGCGCTGACGTCATCAGCGGGCTGCGGCGGCTGGGCATGGCATGGGGGCTGCCGCCGCAGCAGGGCGGGGAGATGGACGCGCTGTTCGCGGACCTGTTCGCGGCGGCGGACTTCGATAGCAGCGGCTCCGTGGACCGCGATGAGTTCTCGGCGCTGCTCTTCGCGCTGCTCACGTCCATCGCGCAGCAGCTGGAGCAGAACCCCATCGTGCTGGGCGTGAGCGTGGTGGTGGACCTGCCGATGGGCGGCGAGGTGCTGGACGGCAAGAAGCTGCAGCAGCTGGTGGCGGACGAGGTGCAGATGGACGCGTTCCTCGCCTCCAAGTTCGACCTGCTCGACCGCAACAGCGACGGCCGCCTCTCGCGCGCCGAGCTGCAGCCTGCGTTCCTGCAGGTGGCGCAGCTGCTGGGGCTGCCGCCGCCTGGCACACAGGAGCAGCTGGACGCGTTCGTGGCGGGCATGTTCGCGAGCGTGGTGTCTGACGACCCCGACGCCACTGTGGACCAACATACCTTCGTGCAGCTCTCCAAGCAAGTGCTCTCTGCTGTCGCGCTCAAGATGAAAGGCACGCACCACCCAAAACGCCTCTCCCCAACCCCCTGCACCCGCCCCTCTCCCTTTCCTCTCCATCTCCCACACCCGCTCTCTCGCATGGTGCTTTCATGTATGTATTATTTTGTTACAGCCAGGGGTAATCAAGGCGAGGTGAGACCCTACCGAGTCCCCCTCTACTTCTACTCTACTGGAATTCAATGCTGTGCTTTAGGGTTGTGAAGCGATTCCCGAGGTTCAACGCCCCGTCCGCTCCTCCCACCGGCGGGTCCTTAAACCGGGTCGCGAGGGTGAGCTTGGAGAGGTAGCTCATTGCCTGCCCCTGCTGCGGGGAGATGGCCCAGCACTGCCGAAACCGATGGAACAGCTTCGCAGCCTGGAACAACGTCGGATCCGCGTTCAAGTGCACACAGGCAGCTGCCTCGCCTATGAGTTTGAGCAAGGCCGGGACCTCTCCGCAGGGGCAGCCATAGGTTTCCACCAGGAGCGGGAAGACCCTTACATAGGCCGCCCGATTTGTAGTGGTCGGCCTTCTTGGCCACCATCCCATGCGCTGCCCATCCCATGCGCTGCCCATCCCATGCGCTGCCCATCCCATGCGCTGCCCATCCCATGCGCTGCCCATCCCATGCGCTGCCCATCCCATGCGCTGCCCATCCCATGCGCTGCCCATCCCATGCGCTGCCCATCCCACCTTACCACTCACCTCCTCTCATACCCTGTCCCACACTTCTCCATGTCTTCTTCCCTCTCCCCTCCCCCTCCACCCTCCCCCGCCCTTCCCCTCTGCCCCGTGCCCTGGGGATGCAGAGGACCCGCTGGTGCTCTTGTCGCTGGACGGGGCGCGCCTGCGGCAGCTGCTGGCGCCAGAGGCGGAGGCGGAGTTTGAGGGCATGGCGGGGGAGGTGTTCACAGCCATCGACACGGATGGCAACGGGGTGCTTTCCTTCTCCGAGCTCAGCCCCGCGCTGCAGGCCATGGGCGTCGCCATGGGCCTCCCCCCCGCCGGCTGTAAGCCACGCGCCCATCATTCTTTGCCTGCCCATGTGGACATGCTCCCTGCCGCTCCTCCTGCTTGCCTTCTCCCTTCCCGCGCGTCATTCTGTCGGCCCTGAATCACTGCACAACCTTCACCTCCATCTGCTAACCACGCGGCCCCTCATCCCCCCTGTCCCGGGAGCAGTGAGGGAGAATGCGGACACGGTGGTGGCGGACGTGGTGGCGGAGTACGGCCACGGCAAGCGTGAGCTGAGCCGCGGCGACTTCAGTGCGCTGCTACGCGACATGCTGGGGGACGTGGCGGCGCGCCTGGAGGAGCACCCTGTGCTGCTGGGCCACAGCGCCACCGTGCTCAACGGCTCGCGCCTGCGCAAGCTGCTGCAGAGTCCGGAGCAGCTGCAGGCGGTGGCGGAGGAGCTGTTCCGCGACTGGGACACGCACAACCACGGCAAGCTGTCCTCCCGGGACGTCTCCGCGGGGCTGGCGGGGCTGGGCCCGTCGCTGGGGCTGCCACCGCCCGTGGCTAAGGACGCGGAGGGGTTCTACCGCGAGCTGTTCGTGGCGGCGGACATGGACGACAGCGGCTTCCTGGACCGCGCTGAGCTGCGCGGCATGCTGCAGTCGCTCTTTGAGAAGCTCGCCTCCGAGCTGGAGGCGAAGCCCCTCGTGCTCGAGTGCACCGTCATCTCCACCTGATGCGCGCAAGCGTGATTACTGAGGCCTGCTACAGTGGCTAGCCATCATTTGGTATCGGTGTCACCTACGGTAAGTTATGGTCCTATTGCTCACATAGGGCCATTTGAGAAGCATCCATGCACCGGTAGGCCATTACCATCCTTTTCAGATGCAACTCCAAACGTTTACACGCTCAAGGGGAACCCATCCAGGAAATGGCAGTATTTGTACAACCACTTCAACCCAATGCTAAGGTGACTACATTCAATAATATTAGATTGGGTTTCATCAGGACTAGCCTAGTATATAAACACATCGTAATGCTACCACGATACTGGCAGTATTGCTTCCCTACATGTGAGCATGACTACAACAGCTAGTGACTACCTTACCTACAAGCCGCAACAGCAGTTAAGGGAAGTGCGACGCAGGGAACCTACCTAATGAGCAAGCAGCTGAAGAGCTCTAAAGATGTGGCTACCAGGATTTCAGCGGAGCAGCAGGGCACAGCAGGTGTCAGGGCATGTGGCGCAGGGTGGTGAGGAGGTCAGCATCGATGTGGCCCAGCCTGGCACACGCCACCACGGGCTCCGGTACCTCCCACTCATTGTTGCCCTGCCAGGGGGCACGCACGCCACGCCCAGTGGACGGGGCACCAGGTTGAGATGCATGAGAAGCGAGGGGTGTGCAGAGACAAGGGGTGAGTGATGATGAGGGACACATGCGTGGAGATGGAGAGTGACACAGGGCTGCCAGGGCAGGGCAGTCGCCTGGCAGTGCAGTGGCCTGGCAGGGAGTAAAGGGAGGCATGTGAGATGAGGCAGGCAGCACATGGCAGTCACCTGGGAGACGATGGCGATGTCCACATGGTGGGTGGGCAGCGCCGCCAGCACGCCCAGCAGCGGGCGGCGGCGGTCGTCCGGCACGCGGTGCAAGTCGACGTCCACCTCCAGGTAGTCGGGACCCTGGGGGGGGCACAGGCACCACAAAGGGGCCGCGGGGAGAGGGTGTGAGCTTGGGTCGAGAGGCCGAGGGATAGTGGGCGTGTGCTAATGAGAGTGAGAGGAGGGGAGAGGGAGAGAGTGGGTGGGGGAAGAATGCGAGGTGTGGTTGGAATGAGTGGATTGCAAGGGGGTGAGGACGGATGGCACGGCAAGGTTGCGCAGGCGTTACCCACGCACTGATCCTTGCACCAGGGTCACACATGCACCACTGCTGACCCGCAAGGTGAGCAGCAGGGCAGGTGGGTCAGAGAGAGTTACCCGGAAGAACATCTGGCAGGGATGCACGAGCAGAGACGCACTCTCATCCCCCACTCCACTGCTCCCATCACTGCCACCCTCGGCCGCCCCCTCCTCCGCTTTCACTGCTGCCTCCTTGCCTCTCGCATCCCCTTCCTCCACGCCACTCTCCTCTGCTACCCCCTCCCGTGCCTTCCCCCCATCACCTTCCCCCACACTCTCTTTCCCCACGCGCTTGCCCGCCCGTTGGCCATGGCCCGCGTGTGGCTGGGCGCGCTTGACGAGGGTGAGCTTGACGCGCTCGCGGAACGGCACGGACCCCCCCACACCCTCCGCCATGAAGCCGCGCGCCATGCCCTGCCATGCACACCGCACGCACAGAGATGTCAGACTTCAAGGCCTCATCGCCCGCTGTGACGCCTGCTGTGGGACACGTCTTGCACACATGCACACAACACCATGGTATCTCCTGGCCATGCATGCACGTGACGGCACTACAGACACATGCACCCTCATCACACCAGACACACCACGCAAGGCATCGCAGCACAGGACACACTACCATGATTCACCGCAGTGCACCACGACGGGCGCACCTGCAGCAGCGGCAGCATGTTGGGCGGAGCAGAGAGGAAGAAATCGGTGCAGATCTGCGCATAGAGCACCACGCTCACGCCCTCCGCGCGCCCCCCTTGCGCCACCGCTGGGGGCGCCTCTACCGCCTCGTGCGCGTGGGGCTGCCTCGCCAGCTGCATGGGCGCCTGGCGGATGGCGGACCAGGGAACAAGGGAAGGGGGAGACGCGTGGGGTTGCAGGGGATGAGCCACGTGGGCATGCAGTGAGTGAGTGAGTGGTATACCGAAAGAGGGGTGTGGGTACACAGGGCCAGCAGCACCCCCAGCACGCGGAGCAGGGCTGACCTGGATGTTGATGACGAGGTACGGCGGCCACACCGAAACCAGTGCCGCCACCTCGCGTGCACTCAGCGCACTGCCCACTGCGCTGCTGCCCCCCGCTGAATCAGCGGCGCTGGGTGCGGCGTTACTGGCGTCAGAAGCGTGTGGCGGGAGGGCGAAGGCAGCGGGGGAGGGGGCGGCGGAGGAGGCATGGGCGTGGGGGAAGGAGGAGAGGGGGCCGGGCAGGTGCACGAGGCGGGCGACGTGGGTGAGCTTGGTGGGCGCGCGGAACACGTCCACCGCCGTCACCACGTATGGCGCCACTGGGTGCGCTGCCCGCTCACACGCCGTGCTGGGGGCAGATGCGGGTGGGTTTAAGGGGCGCAGGGGAGCGGGGAGAGGAGTGTGGGTGTGTGAGTGAGCATGAGGGTGTGGCACATGGTTGATGCATGAGTGGTGGGCGCAGCAGCAGCACAGTGCACTCACGAGAAGTAGTCGGGGCCGCGCACGTGGAAGCACGAGGGCGCCACGGGCGTCCAGAAGTGCGTGCAGCTGTGGCTGTCCGCCTGGCCCCCCTGCGCAAACGACACCCCACCCTCGCCCTGCCACGAGCCCGCATCACTGCCGCCCTGCCCCACACTGCTGGCAGCCGCGGCGGTGGCTTCCGCCTCCAGGTGCGCGGCGTACTCAGAGGGCGAGAGGCGCGGCAGCTGCCCCGCCAGGGGCTTGCGGGATGTGCTGCGCACTGCAGGGGGGACGGGGGTCGGGGGGCAAGGGGAAGAGGGAGGGGAGGAAGGAGGGGAAGGGGAAAGGGGAGGGGAGAGAGAAGAAAGAAGGACAGGGATGGGAAGAGGAAGGAGGACGTGAGAGGTGGGCAATTCAGTGAGCCGATGGGTGCCTTGTGACCTGCCATGGGTGCACGTACTGCCTCATCATCCCCTCCCACTCTCCCTGACGGCCCCCACACAGCTCACCGCTGGCAGAGAGGAAGAGGCCGGGGCTGTTGGCGCCCAGGGGCGACATGGCAGACAGCTGCAGCGAGTTGCAGCGCTGCAGCACACTACTGCCCGTGCGCAGGGGGGGCGGGCGCAGCGGAGACATGGGCACCGCGTGCGGCACGGTGGCAGACCCGCTGCTGCCCTTGTCCGCGCCCTTCCTCTCCGCCCCCCCTCCCTCCGCGTGGAACACGGCGGTGGCAGCAGCAGCGGCGGCGGTGGAGGCGGAGGCGTCGGAGGAGCGGCGCGGGGGGGCATGGCGGCCGGGGGAGGAGGGGCGGCGCAGGAAGGACACGAGGCGGTGCGCGGAGGGGGCGCTGGGGGGGCGGGGCGAGGGGGAGGGCGAGGGTGGCGCGGGTGCAGCAGCAGATGAGGAGGTGGAGAGGGAGAGGGAGAAGGGGCGGATTTTGATGGGGATGAGAGATGGGAGCGAGGAGGCGGCGGAGGGGGCAGTGTGTGCACCGGTGGACGAAGGGAGGGTGGATAGGTCGGGGGGAGCAGCAGCATCCGCTGGAACAACAGGTTCGGACTGAGCAGCAGGTTCAGTGGGAGCACCAGGTTCGGTGGGAGCAGCAGGTTCAGTGGGAGCAGCAGGTTCGGTAAGAGCTTCGGGTTCGGTGAGAGCAGCAGGTTCGGCAGGAGCAGCAGGTTCGGCAGGAGCAGCAAGTTCGGCAGGAGCAGCAGGTTCGGCAGGAGCACCAGGTTCGACAGGAGCAGCAGGTTCGGTAGAAGCAGCAGGTTCGGCAGGAGCAGCAGGTTCGGCAGGAGCAGCAGGTTCGACAGGAGCAGCAGGTTCGGTAGGAGCAGCAGGTTCGGTAGGAGCAGCAGGCTCGCCAGGAAAATCTGTTACAATGGAAGCAGCAGGTTTGGTAAGAGCAGCAGGTTGGGGGGGAACATCAGTGGTTGCAGTGACTGCAGCAGAAGCAGCAAGAGCAGCAGCAGCGGGTGGAAGGGCACTACTGTGAGCAGGTGAGTTGTGGCCAGCATCTTGAGCGGCAGCAGGCAAGGCAGCGCTGCCATCCGCCTCACCCACCATCGCTGCCACCGCCCCCTCGCTCGCCGCATTGCCAGGCAGCACGGCAGCAGGGGGCAGCACGGCAGGCAGGGCGCAAGCAGAGGAGGCGGAGGCGGGCGTGGAGGCCAAGGGGGCGATGGTGGGGGTGAGCTGCGACGCTGCGGGTGGGGGGGGGGCGAGGGGGGGTGTGTCGGGCGCAGCAGGGGGCGTGGATGAGCCGTGGCCTGGCCCTGCCTCTGTTTCCTCGTCCAACTCCTGCACAGGTGGCAGCTCGTGGGGTAACTTGGCGGCCAGGGGGGTGGCGAGCGCAGCAGGGGAAAGGGACGGTGGCGAGGAGGGCGCGGGCGGTTGCGATGGAGAGGCGGTGGGCGATGGTGCGGACCCTGACAGCGGGGCGAGGGGGCGGTCACGGCAGGCATGGGAAGGATAGACGATAAGCCAGATGAAGTTGCTGCTGAATGTACATGCATGCATGCATGTGTGTGTGTGCATGCATGCACGTGTGTGTGCGTGTGTGCGTGCGTGCGTGCGTGCGTGCGTGCGTGCGTGCGTGCGTGCGTGCGTGCGTGCGTGCGTGCGTGCGTGCGTGCGTGCGTGCGTGCGTGCGTGCGTGCGTGCGTGCGTGCGTGCGTGCGTGCGTGCGTGCGTGCGTGCGTGCGTGCGTGCGTGCGTGCGTGCGTGCGTGCGTGCGTGCGTGCGTGCGTGCGTGCGTGCGTGCGTGCGTGCGTGCGTGCGTGCGTGCGTGCGTGCGTGCGTGCGTGCGTGCGTGCGTGCGTGCGTGCGTGCGTGCGTGCGTGCGTGCGTGCGTGCGTGCGTGCGTGCGTGCGTGCGTGCGTGCGTGCGTGCGTGCGTGCGTGCGTGCGTGCGTGCGTGCGTGCGTGCGTGCGTGCGTGCGTGCGTGCGTGCGTGCGTGCGTGCGTGCGTGCGTGCGTGCGTGCGTGCGTGCGTGCGTGCGTGCGTGCGTGCGTGCGTGCGTGCGTGCGTGCGTGCGTGCGTGCGTGCGTGCGTGCGTGCGTGCGTGCGTGCGTGCGTGCGTGCGTGCGTGCGTGCGTGCGTGCGTGCGTGCGTGCGTGCGTGCGTGCGTGCGTGCGTGCGTGCGTGCGTGCGTGCGTGCGTGCGTGCGTGCGTGCGTGCGTGCGTGCGTGCGTGCGTGCGTGCGTGCGTGCGTGCGTGCGTGCGTGCGTGCGTGCGTGCGTGCGTGCGTGCGTGCGTGCGTGCGTGCGTGCGTGTGCGTGCGTGCGTGCGTGCGTGCGTGCGTGCGTGCGTGCGTGCGTGCGTGCGTGCGTGCGTGCGTGCGTGCGTGCGTGCGTGCGTGCGTGCGTGCGTGCGTGCGTGCGTGCGTGCGTGCGTGCGTGCGTGCGTGCGTGCGTGCGTGCGTGCGTGCGTGCGTGCGTGCGTGCGTGCGTGCGTGCGTGCGTGCGTGCGTGCGTGCGTGCGTGCGTGCGTGCGTGCGTGCGTGCGTGCGTGCGTGCGTGCGTGCGTGCGTGCGTGCGTGCGTGCGTGCGTGCGTGCGTGCGTGCGTGCGTGCGTGCGTGCGTGCGTGCGTGCGTGCGTGCGTGCGTGCGTGCGTGCGTGCGTGCGTGCGTGCGTGCGTGCGTGCGTGCGTGCGTGCGTGCGTGCGTGCGTGCGTGCGTGCGTGCGTGCGTGCGTGCGTGCGTGCGTGCGTGCGTGCGTGCGTGCGTGCGTGCGTGCGTGCGTGCGTGCGTGCGTGCGTGCGTGCGTGCGTGCGTGCGTGCGTGCGTGCGTGCGTGCGTGCGTGCGTGCGTGCGTGCGTGCGTGCGTGCGTGCGTGCGTGCGTGCGTGCGTGCGTGCGTGCGTGCGTGCGTGCGTGCGTGCGTGCGTGCGTGCGTGCGTGCGTGCGTGCGTGCGTGCGTGCGTGCGTGCGTGCGTGCGTGCGTGCGTGCGTGCGTGCGTGCGTGCGTGCGTGCGTGCGTGCGTGCGTGCGTGCGTGCGTGCGTGCGTGCGTGCGTGCGTGCGTGCGTGCGTGCGTGCGTGCGTGCGTGCGTGCGTGCGTGCGTGCGTGCGTGCGTGCGTGCGTGCGTGCGTGCGTGCGTGCGTGCGTGCGTGCGTGCGTGCGTGCGTGCGTGCGTGCGTGCGTGCGTGCGTGCGTGCGTGCGTGCGTGCGTGCGTGCGTGCGTGCGTGCGTGCGTGCGTGCGTGCGTGCGTGCGTGCGTGCGTGCGTGCGTGCGTGCGTGCGTGCGTGCGTGCGTGCGTGCGTGCGTGCGTGCGTGCGTGCGTGCGTGCGTGCGTGCGTGCGTGCGTGCGTGCGTGCGTGCGTGCGTGCGTGCGTGCGTGCGTGCGTGCGTGCGTGCGTGCGTGCGTGCGTGCGTGCGTGCGTGCGTGCGTGCGTGCGTGCGTGCGTGCGTGCGTGCGTGCGTGCGTGCGTGCGTGCGTGCGTGCGTGCGTGCGTGCGTGCGTGCGTGCGTGCGTGCGTGCGTGCGTGCGTGCGTGCGTGCGTGCGTGCGTGCGTGCGTGCGTGCGTGCGTGCGTGCGTGCGTGCGTGCGTGCGTGCGTGCGTGCGTGCGTGCGTGCGTGCGTGCGTGCGTGCGGCGTGCGTGCGTGCGTGCGTGCGTGCGTGCGTGCGTGCGTGCGTGCGTGCGTGCGTGCGTGCGTGCGTGCGTGCGTGCGTGCGTGCGTGCGTGCGTGCGTGCGTGCGTGCGTGCGTGCGTGCGTGCGTGCGTGCGTGCGTGCGTGCGTGCGTGCGTGCGTGCGTGCGTGCGTGCGTGCGTGCGTGCGTGCGTGCGTGCGTGCGTGCGTGCGTGCGTGCGTGCGTGCGTGCGTGCGTGCGTGCGTGCGTGCGTGCGTGCGTGCGTGCGTGCGTGCGTGCGTGCGTGCGTGCGTGCGTGTGTGTGTGTGTGTGTGTGCGCGCGCCTGTGCATGCAAGCGTGTGCATGACTGGCAAGTGTGCGCTACAGTGGAGGAGGCAAGGAGCATGGGCGACAGGCGAGGGGCAGCAGCAGCGCCCCCTTGGGCGTCGCACCTAGGGAATGCGCGTCTTCACCACTGCCCACGCTCAGAAACTCCTCCTCCTCATCCTCCTCCGCTGCTGCCTCACAGCCCCCCACCGCATCACCCTCTGCACCCTGCTGCTCCCGCCTCTCCACCTCCCCTTGCTGCTCCGCACGCTGCTCCGCGCCCCCCCCCTCCTGCGCTGCCTCTGCCCCCTGATCCTCCATGGCTTCCGCCCTCCCTTGCGCCTCCGCGGCCTTTCCCATCGCCATGCCTGCTGGCGCCTCGCTCCGCTCTGCGCAGCACGGCGGGCGTCAGGGCGCAAGGGCGGATGGCGGGACGGGCGCGGGAGGTAAAGGCGGAAGGGGTTGGCAGCAGAGCAGGAGGGGAGGGGACAAGCACAATGCGGGCTGTGGGGAGAGGGCGACGAGCGGGAGAGGGAGGGGAACGAGTCAAGGGAGCGGGGCGGGAGAAGTGAGGAGGGAAGGGTGGGAGTAGGGGACGTGGCGTGGCAGGGGGGCGGGGGGCTTGGCGGGACTCACGGGCCTTCATGAAGGCGTTGAGCGCCACGTTGGGGTGCACAGGGATGTCCTCCCCGAACACCCTCTGCCGCACTGACTGCCCCGCCTGCTCCTCCCCCATCGCCTCCGCTTGCCCCTCGCCCCTCGCGTCCCCCCCAGCGTCCGCCAACTTCTCCTCATCCGCCACGTGTCCGCTGCTGCCGGCCGCCTTCCCGCTTTTTCGCCTCAGCTTGGGGAAGCACGTCGCCTCCCCTCCTCCCTCGCCCGCCTCTGCTAGTTCCCCTTCCGCTTTCGCGCCCACCTCCTCCCCATCCTTCGCTGCCGCGCTCTCCTTCGTCGCACCGTCCTCCCCCTTCCCCGCACCCCCCTCCTTCTTCCCCCACAGCGCCATCCCCGCCCACATGGAGCGCCCCTCGTCCGCGCGCCCGTCGCGCCTGTCCCCGCCGCTCAGGCAATTCATGGTCACGCCGTCCGCCGGCACCACCGCGCTCAAACACCCCATCGATGCCGCCGCGCCCGCCGCTTTTTCCTCGCCGCTTACCTCCGCGGCCGCTGTTTCCTCCGCCTCCTCCGCACCCGCTTGCGCCTTGTCCCCCTTCTCCCAGCCCCTTTGAACCTCCATACCCGTTTCCTCCCCGCCTTCCCCCTCCCCAACCGCAACCACTACGCCTTTTCCGTCCTCCCCTGCTATCCCCCCTTCCGCCGCCTTCTCCCCGCCGCTAGGTTGCGCGGAAGGGGAAGGGAAGTCGAGGTTCTTGCGCGCGGAGGGCGTGGAGGGCTGCAGCGACTCGATCTGGTAGCTCAGGCAGCTCACGGACGACAGCGACTCTGCCAACGGCACGGCGGGGCGCAAGGGCGGAAACACGTGCATCAGCGCGCGCGTCCTAACAGCGCGCACACACCCAGTAGCAGCAAGCTCGCATACAGACCGGGAGGCCGGCCGGCAGGCAGGTCGGCAGCAGGACGGTAGGCAGCAGGCACGGCGGCAAGGGAGGTGGACGCACCTGCTCCGGCGCTCTTGAAGTCGTCGTCCACGTCAGCCGCCGACTGCGCGTCCGCGAACTCCTCCGCGTCCGCCATCGCCTCCTCACCTCCCGCCACCGCCCCTGCTGCTGCGCCCGCGAGTCCGTCTGCGCGGCAGCGGGGGAAAAGAAGAGTGGAGAAAGAGGGAAAGGCAGAGGTAGAGGCGGCAAGATGGGTCACGGGCAACAGCCATGGGCGCACGGCGCATGGCGCAACAACATTGCGGTGACCTTCCAACCTTCCGCGCCTTCCCTTGCGTCTCAACCTCGGTGCGCGCATTGTCATTAAACCTGTCCGAGAAAAACAGTCCCCCGCGACGCCCCTCCCCTTTCTGCCTCCTCCCACGGTCCCCACCCAACCCGACAACCACCGTGCGCGCAGCTTACCAATTGCTTTCACCGTTTTCCCCGCCTCCGCCTTATCCGCTTGCGCCTCGCCATCCACTACGCTGCCCTTCTGCGCCTTGGCGGGAGCGGCTCCGCTTTGAGACGCGCCGAGCACGTCCGGCTTGGACAGGCAGCACCCCATCCTCGCGCGCCTCGTGCCCCCCCTCTCGCGCTCCCGACTGCTCCACCCTGTACCGAAACAGCCAAAGTGCTTATCCGTTGTAACGGAGCTGCGCGTATCGAGTAGGCGGAGCATTGAGGACGGGGAGTGGGGGGAGCAGTGACCACGAGAGCGGGGACACGGAGGACAGGATATTATGCGGATTGCGAAATATGTTTTTATGGGTGCAGCAAGTACGACGGTGGGTCAGGGTGACAAGGTCTGAATAAACGACGGAAAAGAATCGCTCGGACAATAGGGGCGGTCAAGACTGCCTTTTTCGCGTGGAGAGACAACAGCGTTTAGCGAGGAACGTTTAACACGTGGCAAGGCACGCAGACAAGCTCACATGCAATCACGAGACGGCGATATATCCACGCATGCCCATGCTCCGGTTTGGCCGAACGGACTAGGGCTGACGTCTTCTATACGAACACCCTGACTACGGGAGACTGCAGCGCGAAAGATACTAGGAAAGCAAGTTTGTGGTTCAGTTTGCATTGCCAACATTGGGAATAGAGAGCCTTGCAGGTGACGGGCTTCCCAATAAGCGCCCGTCCACCTGTCAGCTCCCTCTTTGCTTCTTGCTCTTCCCGTCTCGCCTCGCCTCGCCGCCAGCCCCACTCCACTTGTCCCTTTGCCTTCCGCCCAACCACCACCCTCCAGTCAATTCGGCTGGACTGAAAAAGCTTCGTGCACCAACCAGCGACTGATCGCGACGGATTGTTGCGACGTTTGCCCTCTACACTTCAATCGAAAGACTTGTCGCAAACACCCCCTGATTTCGCGAAGTCAAACATTGAGTCGGCTGCTCGTGGTAGGTTGTGCCACCACAACAGATTCTCGGCGCGCTTCGGCACTGACGACGACGGTGACGATGACGAGGGCTGATGTGACGAAGACTGTAACGAGCTGGAACGAGAGGTCTCCGACGTGGTATTTTTTATATGAAGGACGCGTTCTCACTCAGTTCAGTTGCCTTCGACGGCACACTCTGCACTTTCTGTTTGTACACTGCAAGTCTGCAAGCAAGTTGTAACTGACTGAACCAGAAAAAAAAAAATACAAATCATCAATCAACAAGGACGAGAAAACAGGTCTTGGCATGCTCTTTTTACAAAAGCCAATGTTCCATAATTGGCTTTTTGAGGCTCCACTACTTTGCCAACGACACTGCCAACTACTCTGCGAATGAAACGCACGCACACAGTGTGCACGCCAGGGCCCTCGTTATCAGACCAATTTGGTCTGATGGTCTGCGTTTCAGACTCCATTTTCTTATTTCAGATGATCTGTAAGACTCTGATTTTATTTTCAGATGATCAGTAAGACAAATGATTTTACTTCAGATAAATTTTCAGATCGCATACTATTCTTCATCTGAGAATCCAGATAACGAGTACGATTCCGTGTGAAACCGTCATTTGTGCCCATTTGTCCATAGGGCCACTGGTTAGGGTATCTGCCAGCATCTATACATGCATGCGTAATGAATGCTTCTGTCCCGTAGCATCCGCGCTGGAGGAAACAGCACCGCTGGCAGCAGTTAACCATGTCAGATGCTGCCAGCACTTTGTCGCTGCGTGGGTGTCGGCGCCGATGCCAGCCACACCCAGGCACCGATGCACGTAACCTTTTGTGCGATGGGGTGACCTGTATGCATCGCAGATGCACGTAACTGTGGTTCCCCGCCCACACTCGCACCACGTATCACTCTGCCGCGCTACGGGACGAGGGTTTGAGGGACCAGGCTGGGGGCACACCGTCCATCTTCTACATCCTTTTCTTCCGCTGCACTCGACTGGCCCCGCAGTGCAGTTTTCCACTTTCGCCATACCCCCTGATGGCCATTCAAGAGGAGCTAGACCCCCCTGGAGTCTCAGCGCTAGATTTTCTCACACGGGGCAAGTCGATCCCCGTCGTTGCACCCCACGTTGCCTCGTGCTCAACCCAAGTTATACCCCCAACCAACGCATCACCAGACACTGTGGCCGAAGAAAAGGCGGACGATGGCGTGCCTAAAGCTACCACGCCCACGTCGACAAGCTCTTCAAGAAGTCCCAATACCCCAAGTCACAGGCTAAGCGCGAGCGACGGTTGGCGCAGTGGTTGCAGTCGCTGCGCGACATGTATAAGAAGCATCCCGAGGATCCGGACACTCTTCCAGGTGTGTTAGGCGTATTGTCGTGAGATCTCAGGCTTAATCGTTTTGAAACCGCGTCGCGTTACATTTGTATTTGTTACGATGCGAAGTTTTTATGAGAAGGCATTCCTGTACGCTGCAGGAGCCGACTCTACCGAGTACGAAGCTGAGGAGTCAGAAGAGCCGAAGCAACGCACTAACCGTCAGATCAAGACCGATGCAGGCAGAAACACTTATAGTGAAAAGAAGCGGGAACGGTTTTTGAACGGGTTTCCCGCACCGCACGGTTTCTGAAATCAGTTGTAATAAGGGAATGTACCCCTTAGAGTACATGGCTAGCTAGGTCCTTTCGTATTCCCTTGTACTCTTATATAAACTCGATGTATGCATGTTATTATCAACTCAGTCATTTTACATTCACTCTGACCTGAGATTCAAACTTCCGCTGCAACTACTCCTGCGATCAATCCTGAGCGATCCTTTGCTAAGTCCCACTTGGGATTGAAACATGGTATGAGAGCTACTCAGGAATTCTTCGCAACTTCACTTTAGTAAATTCGCCGAACCAAAATCTGGCGAGCGGCACACGCTCCAAGACCAAGATGGCCGGAGGATCCGGAGGCCAAGCAAATCTGACGGCTGAAGGACAACCTAATCCAGCTACGACAAGTGAGGCGACAACCACGATCGGCACTGCCGCCCTCGAGCAACTTTTCGCTCGACTTTCAACTATGGAGAAAGAACTCCAAGAACTGCGCAAAGGCGATGTGGGAATCTCTTCCCAACCAGCACAACCTGGACAACCGGCTGAGAAAAGCCGTGATACCGCCGCGCACACCTTCTCCCTCGACACAGACAAATCAGCAACAACTGCCCCCCGACCAAGTGATGAGGCCATCAACTCTGCGCAAACACGCTTCCTCAGCGTTTCAAAAATTAAGACTACCGCCGCGTTTGACGGCAAGGATTTCTATACATGGAGTTTTGAGCTGGAGCTCCTCCTACAAACAGCGCAGATCTACCATTACTTCGACGGCTCTTACCCTAAACCGGTGGAAAACACCGACGTCGCCAGGGCTCAGTACTACAGTGAGTCCCTCATGGCCTACAGCGTACTGCTACGCAACATGACGCCTGCGGAACAACTTAACATACGCTCCTACAAAGAGAGCGACGCTCCAACAATGGAAGCTTGGAAGCACCTCGTTGAAGTTTACCAGCCGAAGGATTCCGTCACGGCCAGCAGGCTTCTCCAGCAACTTCTGGAGATAAAAATGGGGCACGGGGAGAAGGCAAATCCATACATTAACCGCTGTCGCAACATCCGTGACCAGATCACGAAGCATGGGAGTACGATCTCAGAAGAGATTTTCGTCAATATAGTCCTTCAAGGACTCGGGCCTGAGTGGAAGCCCTGCAAGGCGTTACTCCGACAGCGAGGAACAATTTCAGAAGCCGCGCTATGCGCCGCTCTCCTATCCGAACAGCAGGATATGGACTCGAGCAGAACAAGCTGCGCGCCGCGCCGAGAGCGCCTCGCCTTCTACACGGACAACCGAGAAGAGCGACGACAACCAAGGCGCCATTACTGCAAAATATGCAAAGTCTTCGGACACTCAACGGATAGATGCAAATCTCGATCCAACCACCGCCACCCAAATTCCACTCACCACAACTGGGTCGGCCGACAAGACGCTCGTCATCCTCAACCTCAGCATCAGCCAGCTCGTCCTCCTGCTCAACACCAGCAAAATCAAGGATCACAGTCAGGAGCTCCCAGGAACGTCATCGCAAACATGGCGACACGACGACGGCGCACCACTGAACCTGACGAGGAAAACGAAGTGCAAGGAAGACTTCTGGAACCAGAAGAGGGATGGAATAATCCCTTCACCGAGGATCACCACTACCTGTACGACGAAGACGAGCAGGACTGGAATCTTCCGATCACGTTGCGGGAAAGCCCGCCTCACGAAAATCAGAACTACGTACCAGTAGGCTGGAAGGAGGACGAAGATCCCCACTTCCACAGGCGCTTCAAGACCACCCTGGTAACTCCGCGGTTGGCGCTGCTACCACGGCGTAACAACACCGACAACTACAACACCTGGTACCTGGACAGCTGCTGCGGACAGCACGTGGTGGGATCCACGCGCTACGTCTCTAACCTAAGCCGCGCCCCTGCAACTTATGTCACCGTCGCCAACAACGAGCAGCTGCGCGCCAACTCACAAGGACTTGTCGTCCTGCAAGCACGAGACACCAACACACATATCTCGTTCAACGACGTACTCTACGTCCCGAATCTGCGCTTCAACCTGCTCTCCGCTGGACAGCTCCGCGATTGCGGCGTCATCATTCACACGGACCTCGCAACGCGCGACCTCATCCTCACCTATGCTCCCCCGGACACCCCTCCTGAGGAATTCAAGTACCTTGGACGAGCTCGCTCCATCAACGGGATCTACATCCTGGATTTCGACATACCTTCCTGTCAAGCATCGTCGGACGAACTCGTCGATCTTGTTCCCCTCGAGTTCGCCTTCATGAACAAGGAGTCTTGGGAGCATCCGGATGGAAGACCGTGGATTCGCCGAAGCCCTCTGTTGAACAAGAATGAATGAACTAACAGTGAAATGAGTACAAGTGTGAAAAACTAGGAATGTGTACCCCCTATAGGCTAACCCACTGTAGCCTAAACAACTACAACAACATATATAATGTTTGACACACCCCCATAGGCGAAGTGGGGGAGAACTAGGGGTCACAAGACCAGTCAAGTAAAGCACACAAAGCTAAGGGTGGATCACAACGTCACCACACAGTCCGAGCACAAGTGCAAGGCCACAAGGCCAGTTCACATGCATGAGTACATATATATATATATAAGACTAAACAAGCAAGAGCAGTGATATATATATATGTAATAGTACAAAGAGAGTCAAGAGGAGAGCAAGTGAGGCAAGACAGACACAAGACCCAGCTGGGTACAGCAGTGCTTATGATCACAAGGCGGAAGTGCCTTGGTGAAGACATCAGTAGTGTTGGCCTCAGAGGCCATGTACGCAAGCCGCAACTGACCACGCTGCTGTAGCTCACGAGCAAGGAAGTAGCGGAGAGCAATGTGCTTTGTTCTGTGCTCCAGTCTCTGCTCCCGACACAAGGCCAGCATGGCCTTGTTGTCGACGTACAGGACTGGAGGAGAACGAGGCGGCTCTCCAAGGTCGGTCAGCAGGTAGGTGAGCCAGCGAAGCTCCTGAGCAGCCATGGCCCCTGCGTAGATCTCAGCCTCACAACTGGAGCCGAGAACAGAAGACGAGCGAGTAGCCCACCACGAAACAGAGCCGGAACCAAGGCTGAAGGTGTAACCCTGTGACGACCGCTGCGTAGCCTGGTCGTCAGCCCAAGAAGCGTCTGCGTGTCCAGTGAGGACCACTGGACTCCGCCCTCCAAGCACTAGCCCCATGCCCGACGTACTGCACAAGTAGCGCAACACCCTCTTCGCTGCAGCCATGTGCTCTGGTCGGTGTCTCCCAGGAGCAACATAGCGCGCAAGAATGCTAAGAGGGTATGCAAGGTCAGGTCGTGTGCAGCTCATCAGGTACATGAGGCAGCCAACAAGCTCTGGGTACGGGCCACTCGACTCTACGGACTCATCCGAAGGCAGAGCTGAGAGCGAGTGGCGAGTAGACAGAGGAGTGGCCTGAGGCGAGGAGTACGTGAAGCCGAAGCGCTGAAGGACCTGCTGCACCATGTGTGACTGAGTCAGGGTAATGGTGCGGCGTGCTCTGTCCCGGGTGACCTGCAAGCCAAGGTAGCTGCGCAGTTCACCCAGGTCAGTGCACGTGTGTCTCTTCTGCAGCTCGGACTTCACGTAGGCGAGTCCAGTAGTGTCAGCTGTGGCAAAGACCAAGTCGTCGACGTACACGAGGATGTAGAACGGCGGCAGAGAGGTGTCGGTGCGCAGAAACAGCGACGGGTCGGCAGTAGAAGGAGCGAACCCAAGAGCCGCAAGCGTAGTCCTCAGTGTGTCGTGCCACTCACGTGGCGCCTGGCCGAGACCGTAGACTGGACGCCGGAGAATCCACTGGGTACCAGGAGGGAAAGACCCAGTGAAGCCAGGTGGGCGGCGCAGCCAGATCTCCTCGTGCAGGCTGCCCTGCAAGAAAGCTGTGCTGAAGTCGAGAGAGTGCAGCTCGTAGTCCCGGTGAGCAGCAACGTGCAGCAGTACCCGAAGAGTGGTCATCTTCGGGGTGGGGGAGAAGGTCTGAAAGTAGTCAACTCCCTGCCGCTGACTGAAGCCACGAGCCACGTAACGCGCCTTGAAGACAGGCGGAGAACCCGGCGGCCGCTTCACCCTGAAGATCCACATGCCACTGACGATGTTCGCCCCAGGAGGGGGGACAGCGTCAACGTAGGTGCCTGTGGACTTCCAGGAAGCCATCTCTGCATCCATAGCTGCTTGCCACTGAGAGGAGTAGGGACCCTCTATCGCCTCTGCGTAAGAGCGCGGAGTCGGGATGTCAAGTGCATCCGGGTCTCCCTCAGGGGTAAGCAGTACGGACACGAGATGAGGTGAAGCAGCGGCCAAGCACTGGAACTCCTCGTGCCTGTCCTCAAGGACGTCAGTGCCAAGGGCACACGCACCCCCGACGGACGGAGGACAGACAGACTCAGACTCAGCGACAAGACTCGCAGCGTAGTCTAGGCGACAGTGAGCAGCAAAGTCGACGAGCTCAGCAACTAGGGCAGACGCAGCAGAAGACTCGAAAGAAGGGTCAGTGACGGCAGTAGCAAGGAGACGCGTGACAGTAGGACTGGCAGCACGAAGAGAGTCCGACGCAGGGTCGGCGAGAGCAGGAAGAGAGGACGCAGGAGGAGAAGGCAAAGGGGCACGCAAAGGAGCAGTAGACGGACGCAGAGACATCCGGTGCATGCCAGGGGCAGGAGGAGTACGCTGGCGCGAACTACGAGCACTAGCGCTAGCAGGACGGACAGGCGACGGCGGACGAGACGCAGACTCACGACGCTCAGTAAGACTGCCAGTAGGACCAGTGTAAGGAGAAGGAGCAGGTAGTGGGGAGGTCGGCTGCAACTGTAATTGTGACGGGACAGGCTGTGAACGCGCTAAGGGAGGAGGACCAGGAGGAGGCGAGAGACCAAGAACCTGCTGAAGGAGCGGAACGAAGTACGGCTGAGGGCGCGCGGCGTCTGCAGACACAGCAGGGACAGCACCTGTACCCCCAGCGGCAGTACCAGAACCAGCAGCAGCTCCAACGCCCAGGTCCCCAGTACTAGCCTCAGCACCAACGCCCGAGTCCTCGGCACCAGCAGTGGCTCCAACACCAGGGTCCACAGCACCTGCCGCAGCTCCAACGCCCGGGTCCTTAGCACCAGTAGCACCTCCAACTCCCGGGTCTGCAGCACCAACAGTAGCTCCAACGACAGGGTCCGCAGCACTAGCAGCAGCTCCAACGCCCGGGTCCGTAGCACCAGGGGCAGCCGGGTCCGTGAGACGAGGCGCTCCACTCCGAAGTGTGCAACGGTGCTCGTACCATTCACGGATCCGCTCACGAGAGGGGAGCTCCCGACTAGGAGGAGAAGTACCAGCACCAGTCCCTGTAGTACGCCTGGTCCCAGAGGTAACACTCCGAAGGCTGCAGTACTGTAAGTACCACTCACGCAACTGCTCCGAGGAGAGGTCTCGTCCAGGTGTAGCACCCTCAGGCCCAGCACCGCCAGAGTCAGAACCCCCAGACCCAGCACCCCCAGGCTCAGCACCCCCAGTCACCGCACCCCCAGGCTCAGCACCCCAAGAGTCCGCACCCCCAAGCTCAGCACCCCCAGAGTCAGCAACCCCAGGCTCAGCACCCCCAGAGTCCGCACCCCCAGGCTCAGCACCCCCAGAGTCAGCATCCCTAGGCTCAGCACCCCAAGAGTCAGCATCCCCAGGCTCAGCACCCCCAGTCTCCGCACCCCCAGGCTCAGCACCCCCAGCAGGACGAGAGTCGACAGCAACCTCAACAGGCTCGACCGGGTCTACCTGAGACACACCTGAGGGAGCGGCACCCTGAGGGGGGAGGGGGTCTACGACAGCAGCACCTGGCGCGAGGAAGAGAGGCGGGGGTGGGAGCGGGGCAGTGCGGTAGGGGAAGAGGCGGTAGTAGGGGACAGACTCGTCAAAAGTGACGTCCTGAGAGGGCAAGACCCGGCGCGAGGTGGCGTGGTAAAACTGCCAACCAGGCGCGTCAGAACAAAGCCGAGGAAGACGCAGGGAACAGCACGAGAGGAGAGCTTGTCCGCAGACGAATCGCGGACAAAGGCTCGAGTTCCCCAGACCCGGAAACGCGACGCATCGCCAACCTCCCCCGTCCACAGCAGTGTGGGCGAGGTCTCCGGCAAGGAGACACGGGGCCAGAGGTTGAGCTGATGCGCAGCGTACCGGACCGCAAACGGCCACAGAAAGTGGGGGGCAGCCGCATGGATCAAGGAGGTACGAGCGACCTCCATGACCAGGCCAATGCGGCGCTCCGCAACTCCATTCTGCTGTGGAGAGGCCGGAAGCGTGAACGACTGCTCAATGCCGTGCTCAGCACAGTAGGCTGCTAAGAGGTCGGAGGAGAACTCACCACCTCTGTCAGAGTGCAAGCGCAGGACAGGAAAGTCCGAGCGGAATCGCTCGCTGAGCTGGAGACGAGCTCTGCGGATCCAAGGGATCAAAACATCAGGGACCTCACCCTTGGTGCGCAAGGGGAAGACCGTGGTGTAGCGCGAGTAGTCGTCAACAACGATATGGAAGTACCTCTCCTGACCCTGACCACGGACGCGGGCTGGGCCCCACACGTCCATGTGGAGCGTCTGCAAAGGAGCAGTCGTCGGGGGAAACGAGGAGGAGTGAGGAGCGGCGCGCTGCCGCCCCTCGACAGAGGGAAGACAGGGAGGAGCAGGCGAGGGTGGGAGGGGAGGGAGGACCCTGGGAAGACCAAAGACAAGGTACCGGGAGTGCATGGCACGAAGGCGCTGCACAGACGGGTGGCCCAGTCGGTGGTGCCAGAGGACAGTCTCGTGCGCTAGAGAGCGACACGAGCAGGGGGCGGACAGCTGACCTGACGCGGACGCAGACGCAGACGCAGCGACCTGAGGGGGGGGCAGTAGTCAGTGTGTACAGGTCCGACCCTGGCTGCCGGGTGAAGGTAGCCAAGTGGCGGCCTGTACGGGCACACGTGCAGTGTGTGACACGCTCGTAGGCAGGGGTGAACTGGTGAACAACCGCGTCCTGTAGTGCACAACCTGCCACCAAGTTCGTAGAGAACAAGGGGAGGTGGAGACCTGACAGTGTGCCCGACGGGACCGCAGGACAGGGAAGGACAGTGGAGGAGGTCGCAAGGACCGGACCTCCAGAGGGGTCAGCGAGGGAGACAGCAACTGGCCGAGCAAGGGGCTCAAGGGCAGTGCGGTCACGAAAGAAACAGCGAGAGGCACCTGAATCCAGTGTGAAGGTGTGCAGTGCTGCAGTCGACACAGTACTAGGGGGGGCAGACGTACACGCACCTAGAGCAGCAGCCTCACCAGCACCTGGGGTAGCCGACACGCGAGTACCTGGAGCGGCAGACGCACTAGTCCTAATGCCCGGGTCGGGCGGGACACTCAAGTACTCAGTACCCTCTCCACTAGTAGACATCACATACATGGCAGTGAGAATAGCATCAAAGTCTAGAGCATAAATATCAATCCCCTTCTTCAGGAGATCAACCCAGCGGGGCAGCTCAGTGGCCTGAGGGAACTGAACACGCCAAGCGTCGTTCAGACGAGCGAAGCAACGCTGTGTGGCGTGCGGTCCCCCACACGGCTGGCCAGTGCGGTCACCAGTGCGAATGACGTACGTGCAGCTAAGGCCACCACCCCCCCCCCCCGTGCTGAGAGTACCACTCACGGACCTCCTGGGGCGACGGAGTGTGCTGCTGGCCCTGGCCACCGCCAGTGCCTCCACGACCACCACCGCCGCTACCACCTCCTCGACCACCCCAACCCCGGCCGCTGCCTCGTCCACTGCCACCCCCACCACCTCCTCCGCCCCGGCCACCTCCCCCGCCGCTGCCGCCACCCCCCCCCACTGCTGCCACCTCCCCCACCCGCGCCACCCCCCCCGCCACCACCACCTCCCCCACCACCGCCACCCCCGCTGTCACCACCACCGCCCTTGCCCCCTTTGCCCTTGCCGCTGCGGCGCCCACTCGAAGCAGACGCAGTCCCGACCTTCTCACCACCAAGGAGGTCGACAGCAGCAGTAGAGGCGACAGAGGGAAGAAGGGGGGAGGGAGAACACCCCTCAAAGAACGGGGTACGGGGGTCACCGCGAGAGGCACCTACAGCGACTATGCTAGCCTCAGCTGCAAGCAGTTCCTTCTCGAGGAGGGCAATGGTGAGCTCGGTGGGGCAGCGAGCTAGGAAGTGGTCCCTGACTGAGCGCAGAGTGTCAGGGAGGCGCGTGACTAGGTGGTAGAGAGTGAGCCAGAGCGGGGGTGGGTTCTTGGCAAGGAACTCATCAGGCATAGCGGCGCGGAAGCAAGCCTCACTAGTGCGGAGGTGGGTAATGAGATCAGCGACAGTGTGGAAGGAAGCTAAGTCGGGGAACAGGTAGGGAAGAGAGAGACGGCCTAGAGCGGCAGAGGCCGGTGAGGAGTAGCGGGCAACGACAGCAGTGTACAGTGCCTGAGCAGTCTTGTGCTGCCCAAAGTGCTCGCGCTTATCTATCGGCAGAGAGTTGCGAATAGCGAAGCGAGTATGGGCGTCACGAGTCTGCCACTGTGAGCGGGCAGTGCTGTCAGCAGTAGCAGCAGGAGCAGTAGCGTGGCCTAAGGCATGATCGTACAGCGAGATGTCTTCCTTGGCAGTGAGCTGTAGGAAGAGGTGTAGGTCATCAAGCCAGGTGTCGAACTTCACTGGGCGGCCCTCAGCATCGAAGGCTAGCACAGGAGGGCTAGCCATGGTAGCAGCAGTAGGAAAAGCAGTAGGAGCAGTAGGGTAGGTAGGGCGGCGCGGCTCGGTACAGGTAGGGCGGCGCGGCTCGGTATAGGTAGGGCGGCGCGGCTCGGGTCGGGCGGCTCGGGTCGGGCGGCGCGGCTCGGTTCGGGCGGCTCGGTTCGAGCGGCTCGGGTCGGTTAGGGCTGGCGGCTCGGGTCGGGCGGCTCGGTTCCGTTAGGGCTGGGCGGCTCTGGTCGGCTCGGGGCCGCTAAGGGAGAGCGCAGGGAGCGGGTGGGGCCGTGAGGGACGAGCGCGGGGCCGACGTGGGTGCTAAGGGCGAGCGCGGGGCCTATCGGGGCCGTGAGGGACGAGCGCGGGGCCGATCGGGGCCGTAAGGGACGAGCGCGGGGCCGACGTGGGCCTCTAAGGGCGAGCGCGGGGCCTATCGGGGCCGTGAGGGACGAGCGCGGGGCCGATCGGGGCCGGAAGGGACGAGCGCGGGGCCAACGCGGGCCTCTAGGGGTAAGCGCGGGGCCGATTCGGGGCCGTTAAGGACGAGCGCGGGGCCGACGCGGGCCTCTAGGGGTAAGCGCGGGGCCGATTCGGGGCCTCTAAAAGCGAGCGCGGGGCCGACTGAGGCCTCTAGGTGCGAGAGCGTGGGGCCGACGGGGCCTCTAGGGGCGTGAAAGCGGAGGCGCCCTAGGGCGCAGGTAGGTAGGTAGGTAGTGGTGGGCCCTAAAAAAAATCGGTCCTAGGAAGGACCTGCTCTATACCATGTTGAACAAGAATGAATGAACTAACAGTGAAATGAGTACAAGTGTGAAAAACTAGGAATGTGTACCCCCTATAGGCTAACCCACTGTAGCCTAAACAACTACAACAACATATATAATGTTTGACACCCTCACCCGCGTGAAATCAACCTTCACGAACCCGACGCCCACGGACTGTGCACCACCTGTCACACACCGACCGCAAGCCGAACGGAGCAAGTGGAGAAGGAGCAAGCGGCAATTCAGGAAGCAGAAAGCGCTGAAACAAGACCAACAGGCATGACTGAAGAAGAGCTTGCCATATCATCTCACCGCATATTCGGCGAGCCGAGCGAGAAATTCGGCCAAGAACAACAGGCGAGGCCGCGACCTTACTCGGACACCCTACGATTCGTCCTCGAAGCCAACACGCGCACCTTCGACGAAGAAGGACGTCCGCGCCCATACACTCGAGAAGTCTACCGCCGCGAAATTGACCCTGCTTGGAAAGACCCTGACGCACCAGAGGAACTAAGCGTCAAAGAGGAACAGGAGAAAGCCCAAGCCGAAAAACGGCAGAAGCTGTATGAGGAGCGCATCGCGGCAGGATGGGACCCAAACTCTGCGCGCGGAGGATGGGACAATGAGCAAGCCGATACCGAAGAAGGCGCAACTTGGGGATCCTCAACGGGAGCATGGGGAACCGACACAGTCACCAGCGGAGCATGGGGAAACAACGAGCCTGACGAAGGAGAACTCACGCAAGAAGAATTGGAAGAAGCTGCACAAGAACTCCAAGCTGAGCGCGGCGAACCATCACCTCGAGCAATCATTCCCCTCGGTCGACCCCCTCGCACTGCTTCACCACCTCGCTCACCTCACCACTGGCGTGATCCCCGGTCGGAGATTGAGAGGGGGAATGTACCACCAACACCGCCGCGAGACTCACTCGGACCAATCTCCCGCCCAGATCCGTACGCACGCTTCATGGAAGGCACCACGACCCTGCTCACGATCATTCCCGATCGCGAATTTCTCACCCTGTATCTCTCAACAGCACCTGCAGAAGGGGAAGCAATGGCAGAAGCGGAAGGAGAGGAGGGGAACAACGAAGCAGAACCAGGAGAAGAGGAAGAACCTCCACTCCAGATACCAGAACTCACAGTGGAGGAGGTAGCAGAATACCATACCCACTACAAGCGCACCTCCGGCATTCGCGCCGAGGATGATCTCTGGCACCAGCGGATGGGACACCCCTCGCGCCAGACACTCGCCAACTGCCTCCGTGCAAAAGTTTTTCCACCTGGAGCACTGCTACGCCCCGACGGGACAGAGTTACAGCACACCACCCCTCATCCAACCACTTGCACTGTCTGTCCCACAGCCGCCCTCTCTCACACTGCCTATCCCTCCCTGGAGCCAAGCACCAACCGCTACAAAAAATTGGAAAAGGTGTACAGCGACTTCATCGTACTCACCCACGACGGACTCAACGGCGAGAAGTAAACGCTGACCTTCATCGATGCCTACTCACGCCACGTGTGGGTTGCCAATGTCGACGCGCGCTCCAAAGCCCCGGAGGTGTTCCGTATCTTCCTCGCGCATGCGCAGCGACAATCGGGGAAGAAACTCAAGATCTGGCAGAGTGATGGGGCAAAAGAATTTCGCAGCAATTAACTGGAGAGCGTACTCACCGAGAAGGGGATCAAGCATGAGATTTCCCTTCCCTATGCTCACCAGCAACAAGGCGTCGCCGAACGGGTCAATCGAACCCTCATGACCAAAGTCCGCGCCATCATGAACCAGTCTGGCCTGCCAAAGAGATTCTGGCCGTACGCCATGAATCACGCGGTGCGCCTGCACAACCTTCTCTCCACCACCGCCAACAGGGACAACCTGTCACCCCACATGAAGTGGACCGGTTCAAGGGGAGACCCCTCCATGCTGAGGGTTTGGGGGTGCATGGTGCAGTATCGGCCCACTACGGCTACAATTGGCAAATTCTTTCATCGTGCACGCTGGGGAGTTCACCTCGGACTTAGTCACGAGCACAAAGGATGGCTCATCCTCGACATAGACAACCAGGAAGTCGTCCCTGCACGTGACATCCTCTTCAACGAACGGCTCACCTTGAGACAGTGGATCGAGGACGAACGCCGCAACCAGGCACGCGGCTACGCCAACAGCGGCCGCAGCTTCGCGACTCCTGAAGATGAAGCAGCAGCAACAGCCCTGGACCGCACCGACGAACACCCCAGCATTCCCCCTCGCCCGCGAGATGACGACGATGATGACAGCGATGATGACTCCACGCCAGGACCATCACGGCGCCAGCCAGGACCAAGTACCGCACCACCCGGCTACGAGAGCGGAGACGACGACGTGGTTGAAGTCCCCACCAATGCAGACACCACCAACGTGTCCGGTCTTCAACTTCTCGGTCTGCACACGTCCGTCTCTACTCTCGCGCGAACCGTGGAACCTAAGAACCCTCACCAGGCCCTAACCGGCCCTCACGCCAAGGAGTGGCGTACTGCGATGGATGCAGAACTGAGAGCACTAGAATCACGCGATACTTGGGTCCTAGTCGATCGTGCAGCAGTGAAGGGGAGGAGGGTGCTCAGCGGGAAATGGGTCTTTCGCCTCAAAACCAACGCTGACGGCACTATCGAGCGTTTCAAAGCACGATGGGTCGTACGTGGGTACGATCAGCGCCACGGCATTGACTTCGACCAGACCTTCGCTCCCGTCAGTCGCCACACCTCGGTTCGAATTCTACTCGCTATTACCGCCGTGAAGCACCTACCACTGCGACAGATCGACGTGAAGAACACATTTCTATACGCGTTGGTGGATGCTACCATCTTTGTGAAGCAGCCGCACACCTACGGAGAAGATGATCCCAGGGTCTGTCAACTGAAGAAGTCGCTCTACCGAATCAAACAGGCGCCATGACTCTGGCAGCAGCACCTGCACAAAATCCTTCTCGAAATTGGCTTCAAACAACTCCCGCACGATCCGGGAATGTATCGCCTCCACTTCAGCGGTGACTACATCCTCCTGACAGTCTATGTAGACAACCTGCTGTACACGGGGACCTGCAACAAACTCCTCGACCAGTTTCAGGAGAACCTGGCGCAGCGCGTGGACATCACCATCAACCCCGAAGTAAAGCAGTTTTTGGGGTTAAATATCACTTACGCGCCAGAAGCAATTTATCTGTCAGCTTCCAAGTACGCAGAGCAACTGAGGGAACGCTTCAACATCTCACCCGCACCACTCTCAACACCCTACCGCAGCCCGAGCACCAACTACAAACCGGACAACAAACCTCTGTCGCCCGCAGGACTCCAAATGTACCAACAGAAGCTGGGGTGCCTGCTATTCGCCTCTGTCACCTGCCGACCCGACCTTTCGTACATCGCTAGCCAACTGGCGCAGTACTCTCGCAAGCCAGTAGCTGAGAACCAGCTGGACCTGGAGCGCGCCCTGCAGTACTTCATCTCCACACCTGACATCGGGCTCTCCTCCACGCTGACGACGACCTCCTTCAAACTCAACGGCTACGTGGACGCAGACCACGCAGCTGATCCTGCAAATCGACGGTCTCGAACCGGCTTCGTTTTTCGCCTAGAACCAAGTGGTCCAATCTCCTGAAACTCCCAGAAGCAAGAACTGGTTGCCCTGTCATCGGCTGAAGCAGAATACATCGCCGCGACAGCAGCAGTTCGCGAAGGCCTGTACCTGCAGGAGCTTCTACAGGAGGCGAAAATTCCAACCTCGCCTAATTTTCGCCTTCACTGCGACAACCAGAGTGCCATCAAAATCGCGAATAAGCCAGGATTCGTGAACCGCACGAAGCACATTGCACTTCGGTACTTTTTCGTCAAGGACGAAATCGACCAAGGCAAAGTGGACCTCACTTACTGCCCGACCACTGAGATGGCAGCAGACTTCCTCACCAAGCGCCTGCCACGTCAGCAGTACAAGCACTGCTCTGACCTTACCGGAGTAGTCAAGCGAGTCAGTTCCACCCGCACCCAGGAATGAAGGGGAGTGTTACGATGCGAAGTTTTTATGATAAGGCATTCCTGTACGCTGCAGGAGCCGACTCTACCGAGTACGAAGCTGAGGAGTCAGAAGAGCCGAAGCAACGCACTAACCGTCAGATCAAGACCGATGCAGGCAGAAACACTTACAGTGAAAAGAAGCGGGAACGGTTTTTGAACGGGTTTCCCGCACCGCACTGTTTCTGAAATCAGTTGTAATAAGGGAATGTACCCCTTAGAGTACATGGCTAGCTAGGTCCTTTCGTATTCCCTTGTACTCTTATATAAACTCGATGTATGCATGTTATTATCAACTCAGTCATTTTACATTCACTCTGACCTGAGATTCAAACTTCCGCTGCAACTACTCCTGCGATCAATCCTGAGCGATCCTTTGCTAAGTCCCACTTGGGATTGTAACAGTATTGATGCGGCCGCATCTCTGTCTTCCTCTATTCACCCGCCCATTCGTACAGGTGTGGACTGGGCCAAAGCACAGAGGGAGCTCAACACCTTCGCGACAATCATGAGCACCCACCAGGAGGATGTCGGCTTCGCGGAGGACCTGAAGCACATGCTCTCCTCACCAGATTGGACAACGAGCTACCCCAACATTGTCCGTCTGTGGATCGCTTTAGCCGTGCTGCCGCTGAGCACTGTGGAGTGCGAGCGCGGGTTCTCGCGGCAAAACGTTATCAAGAGCTGGCTGAGGGGGAACCTGTGCGACGCCAAGCTTGGTGAGCTCATGACCGTGTCTCTTCTGAGCTACAACATGGAGTGGCCCGAGTTGGTGGCTCGGTGGCGCAAATCCAAGAAGAGGAGGCCTGCAAAGGATGTGTTGCTGGCGGGAGTGGAGAGGGAGAGCAAGCGCAATAAAAGAAGATCCGCAGCAGCAGCAGAGGCAACAGCAGCAGCAGCAGCTGCTGTGGCTGCGGCAGAGGCAGCAGCACGCGAAGCGGCAGCAGTACCGTAGCAGAAGCAGCCAGGCTGGATGCAGAGTCCCCCTGGCTCAGTCGCAAGGGGAATGCTAACTATCTTACCGTATTCTCCCGGACATAACACCCTAGGGTATAGCTAAAAATACAGGGAAAAAATGGGGGGGGTCTCCTCGTAGGAAAAGAAATACATAATACCCGGGTCTTTACATATGGCATATTTTAGTGTTAGTGTTTTTTTAATTAGTCAATGTGGGTGTTTTGCTGGTCGTTTTAGCATCACTGCCTGAGGCGCGAATGTGAGTTTCGGCCTCGAACTTCATCGCCCCCACGAAAATGGCATGTGGCACCTCTCTTGCCACTTGCAACGGAAGATTCACCTGCACGTGGCGACAGAGAAATAGTGGGAGGGGGCAAATCTCGGCAGATTGCCTTTGAATGTACCGCGAAATTTCATCTAGGGAGAAATTCACACGATATTCTTCCGTATTGCAGCTACTCGTTAACGACTATAATAATGAATCCGTAAGAAAAGGGGGGTGTTATAGAAAATCAGCCAAAAAGGGGGGTATAGTAGAAACGAGGTCTATCATAACACCCACCCCGCACAAGCTACCCGGGGGTGTACAATTATGGGGGGGTGTTTTGTCCGGGAGTATACGGTATTCCAGTGCCGTCTGATAGCCTAGACAGCTGTAATGATGCTGATGATAGTGGTAGCGAGTCTGACTGATACGTTGAATGGTGAAATGATACTTAGTTTTCGCATTGTATGTTGTAGATTTGATGTAGTTAGTGTAGACCGCGTGGAATAGTTCATCTGTCTAATCAGACCTGTGTTAATGTTTCGTCCTAGAGGTCAGACGAAAAAAAAACACCAATCTGAGCGTAAGACAATTTTGTTTTTTTTACCCATCCTGTCAGACAGGCCTGAATCCTAGCGAGAGCCCTGGTGCACGCATACACACACATTGTATCAAACGCAAGCAGACACAATTGCAGTCTGACTGGCGAAGAACCAATGCCCATGAAAAATCAACATGCAGCAAGGACAAACATGCGGGTCCAAGCGGGACCATTGTGTGAGCGCACCCGCATCTGGCAGCCATGCGCAGCACACGCACACCCCTCAGCAGAAGAACATGTGCTCCCTGACGCGGCCCTGCAGGGGTGGCAGCGGGCGCACCACCACTTCGCCAGCGCTGCGGCTGCTGCGGCTGCCGGAGCTCTCCCCCGTGGTGGCAGACGTGCCCGTGGCGGTGGAGGGCGCGGGGGCAGCAGGTGCGTGCTCAAAGGCGGTGGACTGCGAGCCCGAGTCAGAGAACTGGTCGGGGTCCATGTAGAAGCGCGCTCGGAACGCCACTATGTGCGCGTAGTACGCCGGAGGCACTGCCAATGGGGACACGGTGGGATAGACGGCAGAGAAACGACGAGTTCTATGATGTGCCAATAGATGCATGGATGAAGATGCATGGGTGGAGATGCATGGGTGGAGATGGATGGGTGAAGATGCATGGGTGGAGATGCATGGGTGGAGACGCATGGGTGGAGACGCATGGGTGGAGACGCATGGGTGGAGACGCATGGGTGGAGACGCATGGGTGGAGACGCATGGGTGGAGACGCATGGGTGGAGACGCATGGGTGGAGATGCATGGGTGGAGATGCATGGGTGGAGACGCATGGGTGGAGACGCATGGGTGGAGACGCATGGGTGGAGATGCATGGGTGGAGATGCATGGGTGGAGATGCATGGGTGGAGATGCATGGGTGGAGATGCATGGGTGGAGATGCATGGGTGGAGATGCATGGGTGGAGATGCATGGGTGGAGATGCATGGGTGGAGATGCATGGGTGGAGATGCATGGGTGGAGATGCATGGGTGGAGATGCATGGGTGGAGATGCATGGGTGGAGATGCATGGGTGGAGATGCATGGGTGGAGATGCATGGGTGGAGATGCATGGGTGGAGATGCATGGGTGGAGATGCATGGGTGGAGATGCATGGGTGGAGATGCATGGGTGGAGATGCATGGGTGGAGATGCATGGGTGGAGATGCATGGGTGGAGACTGCATGGGTGGAGACGCATGGGTGGAGACGCATGGGTGGAGACGCATGGGTGGAGACGCATGGGTGGAGACGCATGGGTGGAGATGCATGGGTGGAGATGCATGGGTGGAGATGCATGGGTGGAGATGCATGGGTGGAGATGCATGGGTGGAGATGCATGGGTGGAGATGCATGAGTGGAGATGCATGGGTGGAGATGCATGGGTGGAGACGCATGGGTGGAGACTCATGGGTGGAGACGCATGGGTGGAGACGCATGGGTGGAGACGCATGGGTGGAGATGCATGGGTGGAGATGCATGGGTGGAGACGCATGGGTGGAGACGCATGGGTGGAGATGCATGGGTGGAGACGCATGGGTGGAGACGCATGGGTGGAGACGCATGGGTGGAGACGCATGGGTGGAGACGCATGGGTGGAGACGCATGGGTGGAGACGCATGGGTGGAGACGCATGGGTGGAGACGCATGGGTGGAGACGCATGGGTGGAGACGCATGGGTGGAGACGCATGGGTGGAGACGCATGGGTGGAGATGCATGGGTGGAGACGCATGGGTGGAGACGCATGGGTGGAGACGCATGGGTGGAGATGCATGGGTGGAGATGCATGGGTGGAGATGCATGGGTGGAGATGCATGGGTGGAGATGCATGGGTGGAGATGCATGGGTGGAGATGCATGGGTGGAGATGCATGGGTGGAGATGCATGGGTGGAGATGCATGGGTGGAGATGCATGGGTGGAGATGCATGGGTGGAGATGCATGGGTGGAGATGCATGGGTGGAGATGCATGGGTGGAGATGCATGGGTGGAGATGCATGGGTGGAGATGCATGGGTGGAGATGCATGGGTGGAGACGCATGGGTGGAGACGCATGGGTGGAGACGCATGGGTGGAGACGCATGGGTGGAGACGCATGGGTGGAGACGCATGGGTGGAGACGCATGGGTGGAGATGCATGGGTGGAGACGCATGGGTGGAGACGCATGGGTGGAGACGCATGGGTGGAGATGCATGGGTGGAGATGCATGGGTGGAGATGCATGGGTGGAGATGCATGGGTGGAGACGCATGGGTGGAGACGCGTGGGTGGAGACGCATGGGTGGAGACGCATGGGTGGAGACGCATGGGTGGAGATGCATGGGTGGAGATGCATGGGTGGAGATGCATGGGTGATGGCTGACATGAAATGATCAACTGTGGCAATGGCTTAGCACATGTATCTGACAACAGGAATTTTATGTAGCAGAGGATGTGAAGGGAAAGAGAAGCACTCACCCACGGACACGGCACGAGTGCAGCGAGCGTATCTGCAAGAAGAGCAAGAGAAACATGGGCATGAGATGCGTGGGAGGGTGAAATATACTAGAGGATGAATAAGCAGTGCCGCAACGACCATGCAACACTGCAGAACTCAGTAAGCGTGCAGGTAGCGCAACTGCGCTAATCGCCGTACACCTGGTGGCGCCCAAGACGTGACACTAGCATGCAGGGCGCGTGCATGGGTTGCGAGTGGCGAGTGCATACGTGTAGGCCATGGAGTAGGTCATGCGCTGCAGCGTGTTGGAGTCAAAGCCGTTCTCGTCATGCACCACGTGGTAGTGCGTGGGGCGGCTCGTGCCCTGCCATGCCCCACCCGCACACACCACACGATGGGAAGGACAGTGGAAATGTGGTGGGCATGATGAGAGGTGAAAGTATGAAGAGAGCACATGTATGTGGGTGTGAATGACAGGGGGGTATGAAGGGTGGGAGGGGAGGAGCCATAGGTAGGCAGGTTCATGCTGAGAAGGACGCTGATGCACCATGGGACACAAGAACAATTTGCAACAGGACAATTCACAACACACATCAGCCCAGTTATCTTGGATCCCATTATTGGCACACCTAGCTCGAGCGCATGCATGAGATGAGCTGACATTTGCGGTGGTGCTGGAGCGGCTGACCTGGATGCAGGAGTGGCTGACCTGGATGCGGGAGTGGCTGACCTGGATGCCGGAGTGGCTGACCTGGATGCCGGAGTGGCTGACCTGGATGCCGGAGTGGCTGAGCAGGTAGAAGTCAAACTCGGTGGGGTGGCAGATGCCTGTGTCGATCACGGTGCCAGGCAGGGCGTTGCCGCTGCGGTCCGTGGTGCTGCGGTTGCGCGAGTCAAACGGGAAGAAGCGCGTGTGGTGGCGCTTCTGCACCACTGCAAATGTCACCAGCGGATTGTAGCTCTCCTCCAGCGATGCACACGCCTGCACCGCACACCACATGCACGCATGGGAGCACACCCACATCAATGCATATCTGCCATGGGCGCACTCAGCGGCTCGCTACAGCACCTTCCCACACCCACTGCAGAGCGGATGTGGCAGTGAGATGCACGAAGGCAACGAGAGAGAGCAACACTGCACACCTTCCTGACGCCATGCCTCGCTCTGACTGCTTCCTCACCCATGCGCTAGTGCCCTACCCATGCGTGAGAGCCCCACCCCTGGCTGACCTGCTTGATAGCCGCCACCTCGTATTCCTTGACTGCGGCAAACTGCCCGTCGCTCACTCCATCCCTGCACGACCACACACGGCCGCAAGGGAAGCGAGCAAGGAGGGCGGGCGGAAAAGGAGGGCAGTGTGGGCATGGAGCTGGTGACGCAGCGGCAGAGAGGCGGGACAATGATGGTGACGGAACGCACGTGCACAAAGCACGGGCAGGGAAGCAGTGCGGGCAAGACAAGCTGGCCATGCGCGGGTGGGCGTGGCATGGATGATGGGGGAGCACAACACGTTGGAAAGGGGTCAAGGTTGCAGGGCGGACAAGTGCTGTGAGAGGCTCGGAGCACTTTGGTAAGAGACAAAGTGGGTGGGGCTACGCGGCAGGGTTGCAGTGTGGTGGGTCGCACACCTGTACATGACGACGCGCTGGGGCTTGTGGCCAGTGGAGCGGTAGAAACTGATCAGCAGCTCCCTGTGCCGCACACACACCCGTGGGGAGAGGGGCCGCACACACACCCGTGGGGAGAGGGGCCGCACACACAGGACAGGCAGGCAGTGCCGTGATGGTTGGGGGAAGGCGCACGACAAGGCAGGTCAGCGCAAAAAAAGAGCGGGGCAGAGAAAAGCAGGCAGAGGTGGACAGAGGTGGACAGAGGTGGACAGAGGTGGACAGAGGTGGACAGAGGTGGGTCAGGGCAGGGTGGCGAGGAGAAAGGTACCTGACCATGCCGCCATGCTGCGGCATGCCATTGGCGTCCTGCGTGCACGTGTAGAGGTTCTGGATGATCTCCACACGGTGCGCCTGCGCACTGACGAGCGCCCGGTAGCGCGCCATCTCGGGCCAGTCCATGGACGCCACCACCTGGTGGGCGTGCCGTGCCCCCACACACACGGACGGCACAGCAGGCACACAGCGCACAAGGAGGCGGTGAGAGGTAGGTAGCAACGGCGATGGCAAGTGGCAGCGGTGAACTGCAATGCGGGGGAGGGACGCAGAGGGTAAGAACGGGCGGCGGAGGGGTGCAGGCGAGGGGGCTCACAGCAGCAATGGATGGGCTGTTGTCCTCGCCTGGCGCAGGGTGTGTGACATCAGCACCAAAGAGAATGGTGTACTCCTGGCAGATGAGCGGGATCTGCCGCTGTATCGAGTCCACCAGCGCCGTGTTGCGCCCCCCCACCTGCTCATGCCATGCCATGCCATGCCATGCAGCCGCCACGGGACGTAGCACAGTTGAGCAACAAGAGCAGAACAGTGAGGCAAAGAGGTGGCATGAGCCGTGCGTGGGGGAGAACATTCAGGCAGGCTTGATTTGCACAAGTAGCTTCCTTCCCTCCCCATTCCTTCCCTCTCCCCTTATTTCCCTCCCCCTTCCTTTCCCTCTCCCCTTGTTCCTGTCCCCTTTTCTTTCCCTCCCCCTTTCCTCCACAGTCAACCAAGCAGCACACGTGAGTGTGTGGGGGGTGAGAGAGGGCACCTTGGCGTTGATCTTCAACGCCACATTAGCCAGATACTGCTTTCCCTTTCCCAGCTTCGTTGCAAGGCAGCACTGCACGCAGCACCGCACCACGCACACATGGGCACCACCACGGACACAGGAGGCCGGAGCGGGGAGAGACGGAAGAGGAGTGCAGGTGAGTATGTGTGCGGTGAGTGCGTAACACTGTGGAGCGCGCAGTAATGAGGTGCTTTTGAAAAGCGGGAGGCAACAGGCATGAGAGGGGCAAGGTGCGATTGGGAGGCTCACCTGCGTGACAATGCCAAGCTCTGTCTCACACAGCCGCTTCAGATTGCCTGCAGTGCCAACAGGGAGAGGGGGTGTGTGCGAGGGAAGGGATTGGTGGGGAGAAGTCAAGCAGGCCAATGCTGTGCGTGCAACAGGCATGCATGATGCATGCCGGCGTAGACCATAACTGGAGCCCACCATTTGAAGGAGAGGAGGACAACAGGTGGGAGGGGACGACGGTCGTTGCCATAAGTGGCTGCTGGGCTGTGTGACCGTAACGCAAGGAGGTGGGCAATGGCAGGGAGGCGAATGCGGAGCAAGCAGGGAGAGGGTGGGTGGGGTAGAGGAGTGGGGTACCATAGAGGGGCCCGTTGCCCTCGTTGAGGATGCACACCACGATGTCCACATCGGGCATGGGGCGCTGCGCAGGGGTCAGCTGCCGTGCCAGGTTGCGCAGAATCGCCTCCATCTGCCCCGGATGGCCCGCCGCCATCGGCACACACATGCGCTGCTCCATTTGCTGCTCGCACACACACATAGCATTGTTTTGCATGAAAACCGACCGATGCTTGCAGTGGACACATGCATATGGTGGGAAAACGATCGAAGAGAAGGGGAACCAGACAAAAATGATAATCGGGCAGAGAACAAATGGGTAGTGGGTCGCGCAAGAGCAGGTGCGAGTGGGAGAGACAAGGGAATGAGCAGCGGCGTGCAGGAAGAAGGTGGAGCACCCACGAGGCCGGTGACGTTGCACATATGCGCGAGGTCTCGGCCAAACTGCTCCGCTGCCGGGCGCGGCAGACGACTCAGGTTCACCAGAGCCCAGCGCCTCACCACCGCCCCCGTTAACACTCGCTGCAGAAAAGAAGGGGTAGCGGGATGAAATCATGTGTGGTCACCATCCTGGTTCTTCCTGCATGCATGAGGTGCAGCGCGTGCATATCATCATTCCATCACAGCTGCGCATGCACGATGGTCTAGTGCATTGCAGCGCTTTGAAATGCAGAGCAGCAGGGTGCAAGGCGCAAGGCAGAGCAGCACGGCGTGCAAGGCAAGGCAGCAGGGTGCGGGCGCTTACCTTGTTCATCATGTTCCAGGCGCCCACTTGCGGCACCACGGTGCGCTCTCCACCCGAGTCTGAGTACTTGAGCTGCAGGGGGCACGCAGTGCACACAGGGGCCAGGCGACCATGACGGCAGCACAGGGCAGCACAGGCAGCACGAGGCATGGTGTGGACGGAGAGGGCGGCATGGCGGAGAGAGCACAGGGGGCGTGTAGCTGTGGATTGGTACCGTGGGCGTGGGCAGCACACGAGCGTTGACGGTGGCCATCTGGGGCACCACACGGATGCCAAACTCTGCCGCAAAGGGGTCGCGCTCATACGCGTTGTGCCGCACCGTCTGCCATGCATGCACGCCACGCCACGCCACACACACACGCATGCAGCACACGCAAGAGGCAGAGTAATCGGCACACAAAGCAACACATCGCAAGGAGATAAAAAAATTGAAGTATAGACAGAAGGGGGAGCTGTTTTGCTTGATGTCAAGTGAGCCACTCTGTCACATTCTCACACATCAACTCAATCTCCTTCATCCGTTCCCCGCACATCCACTCCCTCCTCTTCCCTCCACACATTTCGCTCCTTCAACCCCCTTCGCTCCCCCCCATCCCCCCATCCAGCTATAAGCAGCATCCCTTTTCCCCCGCGGCACTGACCTGGTTGATCTCTCTCTCCCTCTCAAACGGCTTGCGGGCGGCGTGCACAAGGATCTGGCTCGTCTGCACCTCGTTGAGTTTCTTATTGTACCTCTGGCCCTCCACTATGCGACACACCTGTGCGCACACACACCCACCCATGCCACACACCCACAGGCAGATGCGCGTGCCGATAGTGCATAAGTAAGCACACAAGCGCATGGTGCATGCTTGCACACGCATGGTGCGGGGCAGGCAAGAAGAAGCGAGACGAACAGCACTTGGAGGGAGGCTTGGGGCGACGGCAGGCGGAGCATTGGAGAGAACACACGTGGCGAGCACAGGGAGCAGGGCGGGCGGGGGGGCAGGCGGGTGAGTTACCTCGAGCGGGAGGTAGTTGAGGCGGTCGCCCTGGCCGGTGGTGGCGCAGGGCATGTTGCGCAGCTGCAGGGCGAGGTTGTAGTGCTGGCGGAAGTACGCCTCCACCGTCACCACCTGCGTCTCCCCCTCGGGGGTCGTCAGGGGGAACCTGCACCACGGGCGGTGTGGTGCACACACGCCATGGGGAGGTGGCCACGCAGGGAAGGCGGCAGGGACGAGGGTGGGCGGGGGGGACACGCCAAGGACGACAAAGGAAGGCAAGGAAAGGAGCAACGGAAGGAGCGGTGGAGTGAGGGAGAGCAAGGGGAGGCGGAGCGGTGAGGGAGCGTGTACGTGAGGGCGTGCAGTGGCTGTGTGGTGAGCCCCGTGAGCTTGTACTTTCGCCTCATCTGCCCCCGATGCGTCACCTCTATGCGCACGCCCCTCAGCCCCTTGCGCAGCTGCGAGAGAAGGAAAAGGGGATGGGGAAGAGTGAGGAGATGGTGACGCACTAAGCAGGGACAGTGCACAGAGGAGGCGGGGAGAAGAAGAGACGACGGTTGGTTTCGCGGGGTGCAGCAAGAGCGAGTGGCGCGCGGGGTGGGTGGAAGGAGGCGTACCGCGACACGCTCGAAGTCGGAGAGCGGCTGCTGCAGCGAGTGGCGGTTGAGCAGGCGCATCACGAAGTCAGGCAGCATCAGTGGCTCCAGGAACGCCGTCGCTGCCATGTCTGCTCACGACCAGGGGGTGGGGGAGGAGGGGGGTGGGGGAGACGAAGGCGGAGAGGGAACCCGCGAAGAGAGGAAGATGGGGACGTGTGGCAGGCAGCGAGGAGGCATGAGGGAGAGAGGCGTGGTGGCGAGGAGGCATGAGGGCGAGAGGCGTGGTGGCGAGGAGGCATGAGGGCGAGAGGCGTGGTGGCGAGGAGGCATGAGGGCGAGAGGCGTGGTGGCGAGGAGGCATGAGGGCGAGAGGCGTGGTGGCGAGGAGGCATGAGGGCGAGAGGCGTGGTGGCGAGGAGGCATGAGGGCGAGAGGCGTGGTGGCGAGGAGGCATGAGGGCGAGAGGCGTGGTGGCGAGGAGGCATGAGGGCGAGAGGCGTGGTGGCGAGGAGGCATGAGGGCGAGAGGCGTGGTGGCGTACCGATGTTGAGAGTAAGCCCCATTTGCGTGGGGCGCACGCTCTGATAAAAGCCCTTCCACGCCTCCACACCGTTGCCAATGGGCGCGCGCGGACCCAGGTCCGGGCTGAAGAACGACCGCGCCACTGGCACGTACCTGCCACATGCCGCGCGGGGAGAACACGGCAGAGGGGAGAGGTGCAGAAAGTGGAACGCCGTTTAGAAAACAAGGACATGGCACAACACATGCGTCCGTACGATCTCCACCCACACACGGTACGTAACCCAGAGCGTGCAGCAGCGAGGGGCGTGCACGTACATGCGCGTGGGCTGCTCCCGCAGCACGATGTCTATGGCCTGCAGCACCTCCTGCGGCACCTCCGTCTGCCGCCCCGCCAGGAACTCCATCAGCTGCGACACGCTCGCGCTCGCCGCCAGCCGCAGCACCACCTTGAACGACCGGTCGCGCGGCCGACTGGTGGGGGAGGGACGGGTGGGGGAGGGGAGCGAAGAAGCATGTATGGCGGCAAGCGACATGAGGTACGAGAGGCCGCACAGTGCGCAACGCGCATGCAGGGGAACGACGTCAGCATGCGCGCTGGGGAACGGGTGAGGAGGTTACCGCGACTGAGCTTCCCCTGCCGCCGGGGCTGGACGGTCGTCGGGCAGAGACACCTGAAACTCCTGCGCCTCGAACGGCAGTGGCGCGGCCGTGTACACGTTTTTGACGCCGTCGAAGGCCAGCAGACGATTGCCCAGATGCGACGAATGATACACGCGCGACAACTCGCGAATCACCTCCCGATTAATCCGCTTGATCGCAATATCAGGGGAGATAACAACCTGCACGAAAGATTCGAGAATGAAGTGCATACTGGAGACAAAAATTCGCATAACGCAAGCAGTTAGATAGTTGGTGCATAAAGCAAAAGCACGTTTCAACCGCTACCTGTCGCCGCTTTCTACAGTCTCACTCACATCGTAGTGAAAAATGACGAGGTCCGCAATCTGAAGCGGAAAATGGTTCACACGGATCTTCATAATCTGCCCGACAGTGCCCCCTCGGTCAGGGCGTCGCGGGAACGGAGAGGTGAGGCCGGAGGGGCGAGACAGCGCGAGTCCAGTGAGCTGCGCGACGACTGCCTCGGTGGACGGCGCTGCGGTGGGTGGCAGAGGAACGGGTGCAGGCGGTGGGACGGACGGCGCCGCCACTGGGCGAGGAGCAGCAGGAGCTGGGGGTCCCGCGGCATACGGTGCTGGAGGAGCGTACGGCGCAGCAGGCGCCTCGTAGTAGGCAGACTGCGGCGCCGGCGGGTGCGGCTCGTATGCAGGCGGCCCGCGACCGCCTCCTCCTCGACCTCCTCCGCCGCCCCCACGGCCTCTCGCGCCAAAACGGCCTCCCTGACCTCGGCCTTCCCCTTCTGACGGATAGCCCCCCCGTCCACCAGAAGGGCCCCTGCCCCGACCTCTCATTTCCGGGCCCCCTCGGCGACCCCTCCCACGCCAACTGCCACTGTCTCCGGAACCAGACGACATGGCTCACTTTATCGCTTGAAGTTGGAAAAACTGCCTACAAGTTGGAACGACACAGCAGAAGTGCGACTTCAATGAAGCCAATTCTCCAGTTGAAATTTGTTAGGGAAGGAACTGCCAAGGTATGTGTTCGCAACGGAACAATTGAGTGTGATGAACCCTGACTCCTGGGCTGGTGCTGAGAGGGCAGAAACCGAAGCTGCAAGCCCAGACCCTAGCCTCCATACAAACCGACTGAACAGGCCTCCACCTCACTCGAGGCTGCCCACCTCACCACTGCGAGGGAACCGTCGAGTAACCTGAACGCTTTCATGCAAGGAAGGCATGTCATGTCACTCGAACGGTGTGGCTCGGCACGGCACATCAAACCAAACCTCAAATAACTTCATGCATCGAATTCACCATTATGGAGTTTCCCTGCAGTCAACTTTCAAAGCAGCTCAGTTTATGTTACGGGTGCAATGAATCTAAGTAGCTAGACTTGCACTAAGGTGTCAAATGAGTACAAAGATGTGAGCGAAGGCATGAGCGAACATTTATATGCGAAACATGCAAACGGTAACGCGGTGCGTGCGAGCTAGCTAGTGCTATGCTGGCAGCGAGGCTCGGGCTAGTCCCGAAGCGTAGGCCGACACGGCCGGGCCAGCAGTGTGAGGTTTGGCAAAACAGTGCGCGCGAAGTTGGCGATGTCCCGTTAGCAGTAACGGGCGATCAACGGCTGTTGCTGTACGCGATGTAGTTGGGCTCCGTAAGGAATGCCGAGAAAATTCCTTACACTACCCCCCCCCCCCCCCCTCTCAAGAAGCCCCCTCCGCTACACGAGTGCGTGTATATCGCGGAATCTCTGGCTCCTCAGGTACACTTGCAAGGCAGGGTGGTTTTCAATGTTGGCCAGGGGCACCCAGCTATCTTTAGTTGGCGTGCGGTCCTTCCAGCGAACGAGGAATTCAATCCTCCTGATTCCCGTGGGGTGGCGAATCCGATGACTCAGGATTTTTTCGGGTTCGATGATCGGCTCTGATGTAGGGCGAGTCATGGATGGCGGGCGATGGCGAGGCAGTTGGCTTGTGGTTGGGATGTATGGGCGAAGCAAGCTGACGTGGAACAAAGGGCTGATGTACCAGTCGGTCGGTAACAGTAGGTGCGCAGTTACTTGCATGATCATGTGGCTGATTTGGAATGGGCCACAGTAGCGCGGTCGAAATTTTGGTACGTCGGGCAGTCGCAGATTTTGCGTGTCGAGCAGTACGTAATCCCCTGACTGGTCTGTGACTGGGCGGCGGTGCCGATCAGCGTTGCGCTTAGCGATGGTGTTGGCTTTTTTAATTGCTTCTGCGGCTCTGGTGCGGGCAGCTTGCAGAATTTCGGCGAATTGCTTTGCGCGTGGTGTTGGGTTGTCCGGACTCGGCGTCATGGGCACTGTAGGATTTTGCCCGTAGTTCAGGTAGAAGGGGGACTGCCGCGTCGTCGCTGACGTGGCGTTGTTGTACGCGAACTCGATCAGCGGCAGCTGCTGCTCCCAAGTCGTTGGGTCATCGCACGTGGCACGAATCAACTGCTCCATCGTCTGATTCGTCCGCTCCGTTTGACCGTCGGTCTCGGGGTGGTACGACGAACTGAACTGTAGCCTGGTCCCGAACTGCTCCCAGAGGTTCTTCCAGAAGTTGCTGGTGAACTTCATGTCCCTGTCGCTGATAATCGCTGTTGGTATCCCGTGTAGGCGAACAACGGCTGCAACGAACAGACGAGCGGTCTCTGTGAAAACAAAGAACGAGAATGAAATGACTATGAACGAAGTGAGTACAAATAGGAAACCCTAATTGGGTTGTACCCCCTATTGGATACCCCACTATAGCCTACAGAAACAAGTAAGCTATATGTTCTGACACACCCCCATAGGCAAAGTGGGGGAGAACAAGGGGTCACAAGACCAGTCACGCAAAGCAAAGCAAAGCTCAGGGTGGATCACAAAGTCACCACGCATTCCGAGCACAAGTTCAAAGGCCACAAGGCCAGTTCACATGCAAGATCATATATAGAGATATACAAGAGCAAGAGTATATATATGCGAAAGTACAAGCAAGGTCAAGAGGAGAGCAAGTGAGGCAAGACAGGCACAAGACCCAACTGCGTGCAGCAACGCTGATGATCACAAGGCGCAAGCGCCTTGGTGAAGACATCAGCAGTGTTGGCCTCAGAGGCCACGTACGCAAGTCGCAGCTGTCCACGCTGCTGTAGCTCACGAGCAAGAAAGTAGCGAAGAGCAATGTGCTTCGTTCTGTGCTCCAGTCGCTGCTCTCGACACAAGGCCAGCATGGCCTTGTTGTCTACGTACAGGACTGGAGGAGAACGAGGCTGCTCTCCAAGGTCGGTCAGCAGGTAGGTGAGCCAGCGTAACTCCTGTGCAGCCATAGCCCCAGCGTAGATCTCAGCCTCACAACTGGAGCCGAGAACAGAAGACGAGCGGGTAGCCCGCCACGAGACAGAGCCGGAACCAAGGCTGAAGGTGTAACCCTGTGACGACCGCTGCGTAGCCTGGTCGTCAGCCCAAGAAGCGTCCGCGTGCCCAGTGAGGACCACTGGACTGCGCCCTCCAAGCACTAGCCCCATGCCCGACGTACTGCACAAGTAGCGCAACACCCTCTTCGCTGCAGCCATGTGCTCTGGTCGGTGTCTCCCAGGAGCAACAAAGCGTGCGAGAATGCTAAGAGGGTATGCGAGGTCAGGTCGTGTGCAGGTCATCAGGTACATGAGGCAGCCAACAAGCTCTGCAAACGGGCCACTCGACTCTACGGACTCATCCGAAGGCAGAGCTGAGAGCGAGTGGCGAGTAGGCAGAGGAGTGGCCTGAGGCGAGGAGTACGTGAAGCCGAAGCGCTGAAGGACCTGCTGCACCATGTGTGACTGAGTCAGGGTAATGGTGCGGCGTGCTCTGTCCCGGGTGATCTGCAAGCCAAGGTAGCTGCGCAGTTCACCCAGGTCAGTGCACGTGTGTCTCTTCTGCAGCTCGGACTTCACGTAGGCGAGTCCAGCAGTGTCAGCTGTGGCAAAGACCAAGTCGTCGACGTACACGAGGATGTAGAACGGCGGCAGAGAGGTGTCGGTGCGCAGAAACAGCGACGGGTCGGCAGTGGAAGGAGCAAACCCAAGTGCCGCGAGCGTAGTCCTCAGTGTGTCGTGCCACTCACGTGGCGCCTGGCGGAGACCGTAGACTGGACGCCGGAGACTCCACTGGGTACCAGGAGGGAAAGACCCAGTGAAGCCAGGTGGGCGACGCAGCCAGATCTCCTCGTGCAGGCTGCCCTGCAAGAAAGCTGTGCTGAAGTCGAGAGAGTGCAGCTCGTAGTCACGATGAGCAGCAACGTGTAGCAGAACCCGAAGAGTGGTCATCTTCGGGGTGGGGGAGAAGGTCTGAAAGTAGTCAACCCCCTGCCGCTGACTGAAGCCACGAGCCACGTAACGCGCCTTGAAGACAGGCGGAGAACCCGGCGGCCGCTTCACCCTGAAAATCCACATGCCACTGACGATGTTCGCCCCAGGAGGGGGAACAGCGTCAACGTAGGTGCCTGTGGACTTCCAGGAAGCCATCTCTGCATCCATAGCTGCCTGCCACTGAGAGGAGTAGGGACCCTCTATCGCCTCCGCGTAAGAGCGCGGAGTCGGGATGTCTGGTGCATCCGGGTCTCCCTCAGGGGCTAGCAGTACAGACGCGAGACGAGGTGAAGCGGCGGCCAGACACTGGAACTCCTCCTGCCTGTCCTCAAGGACGTCCGTGCCAAGGGCACACTCACCCCCGACGGACGGAGGACAGGCGGACTCAGACTCAGTGACAAGACGAGCAGCGTAGTCTAGACGACAGCGCGCAGCAAAGTCGACAAGCTCAGTGACAAGGGCAGACGCAGTAGACGACTCGAAGGAGGGGTCAGTGACAGCAGTAGCCAGGAGACGCGTGACAGTAGGACTAGCAGCACGAAGAGCGTCCGACTCCGGGTCGGCAAGAGCAGGAAGAGAGGAAGCAGGAGGAGAAGGCAAAGGGGCACGCAGAGGAGCAGTGGACGGACGCAGTGACATCCGGTGCGTGCCAGGGACAGGAGGAGGACGCTGACGCGACCCGCGACCACTAGCGCGCTCAGTACGAACAGGCGACACAGGACGAGACGCAGGCTCACGACGCTCAGTAAGACCTCCAGTCGGACCAGCGTAGGGAGAAGGAGCAGGCAAAGGGGAGGCAGGCTGTAGCTGTGGCTGTGACCGGACAGGCTGCGGACCCTCTAAGGGAGGAGGAGGAGGTGTAAGACCAAGAACCTGCTGCAGGAGCGGAACGAAGTACGGTCGGGGCCGCGCGGCGACGCTAGAAACAGCAGGAACAGCACCAGCAGCCCCGGCAGGAGCACCCACTCCAGCAGCACCTCCAGCAGCACCACCAGAAGCTCCAGAACCTCCAGCCGCAGCACCAGGAGCACTGTCAGTCGGGCCGCCAACGGCAGGCTCAGCGCCAACACCCTCAGCAGGACCAGCTCCAGGAGAACTCTCAGACTCAGCAGCTCCAGCACCCACAGTACGAGCGCCGGCGGGGCGCGCAGCAGCAGTACCCTCTGCAGCCGAAGAACCACCAGCACCAGCAGCACGCCTCCAGCGCCCGGCAAACCACTCACGCAGCTCCTGTGGGGAGAGTGGCTCCCGGCGAGACGAAGCACCCCCAGGCACAGCACCTCCAGGCTCAGCACCCCTAGACACAGCACCCCCAGGCACGGCACCCCCAGGCTCAGCACCCCCAGGCTCAGCACCCCCAGGCTCAGCACCCCTAGACTCGGCACCTCCAGGCTCAGCACCCCCAGGCACAGCACCCCCAGGCTCAGCACCCCCAGGCTCAGCACCCCCAGACTCGGCACCTCCAGGCTCAGCACCCCCAGACTCCGCACCCCCAGGCTCAGCTCCCGCAGCAGCACCAGAGTCACCAGTGACCTCGACAGGCTCGACCGCGTCTACCTGGGACACACCTG